ATATTCATCAATGCACCACACTCAAAAATGTTTGAAAATAAAAGATTCTTCAAGTGTTTTAGAGGCTACAGGATAGCTCACATCTGTACCTGATGCAAGCCAGGTGACATCAGAGCAATCAGACCACTTCAAACTCTCAGAACAACTTGCAAAACAGATAAAATGTTGTAACATTGATCCTAATTCACTTGAGATGTCAGTAAAAGATTAGTTTTTATTTTATTTAAATTAATTTTAATCAAACTTTCTCCCTGAAACAAATGGAGGTTATTGAACTGAATCTTTCTGTCGATACTGGACGGTAATGGGCCTCTTAAACAATTTCAGACAAATTGGTGTCCTACAGCTGTGATTTGTGGACAGTTTATTGACACGTCTGCAAATTAAATACAGCAACAGAGAGAGTGCTAGGAAAGTGTCCCACTAATAGCCGTGTTTCCACTTGGAAATTTCTGGAAGGAAGAAAAGTGACCGGGAGATATGATGGCTTGGCCCCAACAGCCGCTGTGTCTCCATACAAAACCATGTAATACAAACCCAATAATGCTGTAAATGCTAATTAATTCATTTTGCACAAACTGCTGGGAAGTTTTGGATATTAGAGCAATTTTGAGATGGCAGTTTTACAGTTCTGGCCCAACTGCATTCCAACTAGCCTTTAGCCTATTAGTTTTGTTGGAAACTGCATCTTTAGTTTTGCTGTAAAACTAGATTAGTTATAAAATACCTCGTATGCTGTTGAAATATTTTTAATCCAGTAAGAGATCAAATCCCAGATGGCTAAGATTTGAGAGTTGTGGTCTTAAAACTGCATTATCACTAAGTATTAGGGGTGTGTATTGGCAAAAATCTGCCGATGTGATATATATCACAATACAGGAGAGAGGATACGATATTTATCACAATACGGGAGAGCAATACAATATTAATCACAATACAGGAGAGACGATACGATATTTATCACAATACAGGAGAAAGGATATGATATTTATCACAATACAGGTGCGAGGATACGATATTTATCACAATACAGGAGAGCAATAAGATATTTATCACAATACGGGAGAGAGGATACGATATTTATCACAATACAGGTGCGAGGATATATTTATCACAATACAGGAGAGCAATACGATATTCATCACAATACGGGAGAGAGGATACGATATTTATCACAATACAGGTGCGAGGATACGATATTTATCACAACACAGGAGAGCAATACGATATTTATCACAATACAGGAGAGAGGATACGATATTTATCGCAACACAGGAGAGCAATACGATATTTTTCACAATACAGGAGAGAGGATACGATATTTATCACAATACAGGTGTGAGGATACGATATTTATCACAATACAGGAGAGCAATATGATATTCATCACAATACGGGAGAGAGGATACGATATTTATCACAATACAGGTGCGAGGATACGATATTTATCACAATACAGGTGCGAGGATACGATATTTATCACAATACAGGTGCGAGGATACGATATTTATCACAATACGGGAGAGACAATATGATATTGATCACAATACAGGAGAGAGGATACGATATTTATCAAAATACAGGAGACACATTATGATATTTATCACAACACAGGAGAGACAATATGATATTTATCACAATACGGGATGGACAATTATATTATTAGAATTTATGTTATAAAATTATGTTGTGCTGGTGCCTAACACCAGCAGTCAATGAGCAAACAGGAGGGGTACACCCTAGACAGATTGCCAGTCCATCGCAGGGCAACACAGATACACGCAGGACAAGCAACCATGCACACACACATGCGCGCGCGCGAGCACACACATGCAGGCACACACACACACACTCACACCTAAGCGCAATTTAGACAGACCGGTCAACCTGGTCAGTCATGTTTTTGGGCTGTGGGAAAAAGCCAGAGAACCCACAAATGCAAAGGGAGAACATGACATCTCCTTGCAGAATGACCCCAGAATGACCATTTTCGCAATATTTTAGGGCTGAGTTTTATTGGAAAACTCAGGCCAGACACTTCCACGACACATCTAGTTTTAGTTGTTCCGACAGAATGGTTGTACAAACTGCTGCCACCTAGCAGTCAGATTTTGAATTATACCACCCAAAAAATGTCTGCATGTAAAATTCTGAAATAAAATCGACACACGGCTTTTACATATCGACTTAGTATCATAATATGAAACATTTCAGTGCATCAATATTTTCTAACATCCCTACTAAATATCACATATAACCCTAAAATATGGGCTATATTATCCAGTCCCAATTTAAAGATTCATACTTAAGCCACAAGATAAAACAAATATCCTTATTTTCTTGTTTTTTTTATTTTTTTATTAGCTGAGCTACTGAAGGATGATGGTAACGCAACCAGAGGATTCTGGGTAATATCTAGACCAACTTGCTGCAATTTTCTCAGGCGTTCCTCCTCTGCTTCTATCACTAACAGAGCAGCAATTAAGATGATCGAAGAGCTGCAGTTTGCAAACAAAAACGATCCATCACAACCCCCCCTCAGGCCGGGGCTGACTATTTACTGATCCTTTAATAATAGGTGAAACGTTTTATGATCCAGCTCTGCAGTAAATTCTGAATCAGCCATCAAATCAATGGCTACAGGGCAGCGGTGAACCTCCATATTTCCCTTCAGAGATACTTCCGCTGCCCAGTGTGACAGATGAGTCCGCCGAGAGTCTGACAGAGAGATCCCACTTTCTTGTGTCAACACGAGAAGTTCCAGCATCCAAAAAAATGAGTGCTGACAGAGAACAAGCAGACTGACAAGACTGTTCAGCACTCATTACAGCCTCTGATAGACTCGCTTAGTGAGTAATTCATCACTGCGCTTTGGTAAAAGCGTAATCAGTTAGCAGAGGATAAAGTGAAAGAAAAGAACTCTCAGACCAGGTGGTTCCAGTGACGCTGCGAGCAAAATGCTCTCATCAGATGTGACATATTGGCGGTGACACTAAACACAGCTAATTACTGCTAATGAGAGGCTTGGACTGATGTTGTTGTCACCAGCGGAGAACACTGCCTCCACCTACGTACCACTCTGTTCTCCCCTGCCAAAAAAGCTAAATGAATGCTACCGGAAATCAGCTGAAGTGACAGCATTGTGGAGATGCTCGGCACAGGAAAAAGCCGCCGTGCTGCTCGGAGATAATGGAAGTCAGTTTGGTTTCAGAACATAAACGTGGAGCGAAGCCTTGTAACCTTTTGTGCTTGTTTTCCTGAAAACCTATTAAAAATGTAATTAAAAAGGCCGCCTCGTAAGGCTCCCCTGTGGTGGTGAACAGTTACCAGCTTCCGAACAACTTTGTACGACAGGTAGCAGCCATAGGCACATTAAAATGAAAATTTGAAAAGATATGGGTGTTTGTTTTTTCTTTTTGCTCTTTTGCATTCAGCATTATTATGCTTTACAGGAAAGGAGAAGGAAGTGAGCAGCCTGGTATAGTTATCTCAGTGGGAGCCCTGGTTCTGTCTGATTCAGCAGCCAAAGAGGTTTTATTTTCAAGGTTGGTGCACAGCTATCCTGCAGGAATTTGCAGTACGAGGATTGAAATCATCCTTATCAGTTCTCTTCTACAGTCTAAAATTTGTAAATTAAAAATAAAATGCTCAGAATCTGCAAAGTTTTCTGGAAAAAAGGTGGAATTCAAAGCAGAAACTGTCTTTGTACTGCACCGTGTAATATTTCAGCATCACTTGGCTCAGTCCGGACGGTGGCGTGCATCTAAATCCAACAATTACACAGCAAAGATTACAAAGTGACTTGTGCAGATGCACACTGCCCCCACCCCCTCCACCCACACACACACACACACACACACACACACACACACACACACACACCCGACTGCTGCAGAGAAGATGGTGATTGTGTTTTACACTGATCTGAGGATTTTCAGGGCAGCTGGAGTAAGCTAAGGATAAATCAGGGCAGCACAAAGAGATGGACATCCTGTCAGGGTCAGGCGCAGCTACAAGGAGTCCAGGCTGAGAAAGGTTGAAATGGAGAGAACGCGGCTGAGGGATGAGAGTTGAAAATGCCACTGACACGGCTCAAAGCGACGGGGAATGTTGTGTTTCAGTGGCGCTGCAGCCATAAGCATCCATCAGGACCACTTTCTATTTATGAATGAAATTAACGAGGCTGATGAGTAAATTGAAACAAAAACCTTTCCTTTTAAAAGGGAGATTTTTTTAAATTAAAGGCTGTGAAATCTGAAATTGGGTCACAGAATAACAAATGTCCTGCTTTATCTTTAAAAAGTAAACGGTTTCTTCTGAAAACGCACAAAATATTATGTTCTGGACTGTTTTCTGTTGTGGATTAGTACAAGCCAGGTGCACAAATAAGTGTGTTTTTATTATTTAGACCAAGATCAGGTTTATTTTGACATTTTAAGGTCTTTCAGACATTCTGAACGGTAAAGACACTCATGGCCTTTTAAACGGAACTGAAAGTGATGATTCAGAAGTGTGACAGAGTCATAAGACTGTGTCGGACACCACACTGAAAAAAATAACTCTTTGGATTTACGTGATTTTATTGTGTACATCGGTTCCACATGATTACAATGAGTTTAACCAATAGAACATGTCTCTTTCCTTTTACTAATAAACTCTCTCCCAATCAATGTATTTTCTTTACGTGAAACTGCTTTAAAAAATCATGTTGCCTCAACATGATTTTTCTGAACAAATGTAATTTAATTTTTTTAAATAATGCCAAAATACTTTTCTTAGGTTCAATGTACAATATTTAACTATAATATCAACTTGATTTTTTCATGTTAGAATTGCTCAAAAATATTGTGTAAACGTAATGCAAAGTAAGTTTGTTTATCCTACTTTTTTCTTTTAAGTTGCCCGTTTCCAAATGTAATGTTTTCATTGGTCCCATGTCTGTGCAAATTAGAACATGGAAAATATGAACTGCATTGACAAAAAGCCAGAGAACTGAAAAGTTGTAGTAAAACTCAGTTTATTAACATTTTAAGGGCAGAAAATGACAAAGCAATAAACTTCCATTATCATTGACTCTTAACAAGATATTTTTGTACTGACTTGAGGGAAACAAAAGAACCCGTGGAATTGTCTTTACAGCAATAGAAAAAGAGCAAAACTGCATATCAGTCAGTTTAATTAAAACTTCTCTGTCCTAAATATTGTATTTCACATCAATGAATTTTAAATTTAGTTTCAAATGAACCTTTCCAGCAAAACTGAAATCTTGCTACTCTTAATGAGCTTCCCCCATCTAAAACATTTCATGAACAAGGCTTTCACATTAATAACAATGATGAGTGCAAATCTGCTAAAATATCCAGACACAGAAAACCTGCTCTGAATGAGCTCCCCACATATAAAACATTTTATGATAAAATCGAACTTTCATATTAATCAGAATAAAATCGATAAGTGCAAAGCTGCTGAAATATTCAAATACTGGAACTATTTAAGGACCCGCCTGTAATGACTTGGAACATAGTTATTATAAACTATTCAATATTACTCAACAATGAATAATAAAACACCACCAACTTCCAGTGGAGTAAAGAGACAACAATAGGCCAAAATGGGTCAATACAAAAGGCAACACAAACTGTAGTCATTGAATCACTCACTGAAACAGCTGGTTTTTGAGAGCAAGTGTTTTGTTGGAAGGTTTACTGCCATCCAGTCCCATGAAAACCTTCTGGATTACCTCAAAGGTGTAACGGAGGTCAACCGGGTAGTTGAGGTTTAGTGCATACATGAGTCCAAATAGCATAGCAACTGCTAATGCTACATTTTCCAAATCCTGCAACACGCTGATTCCTTCAAGGATAATCCCAATGTCCTCTGGTTCCGCAGAAGTAGATCGTTTTATGACATATATTCCAATGGTGGTGTCTTGAATGACCTCTTTGATGGCATTTTCATCCATGTCCTGTAGAGAGACAATATATAAATTAATATAAAAATACAAAGCTCATTATAAAGACCCTTTACAGAAAAACACACATGGGTGTATTAGACATTATCACAGATAATCAGATTATCACTCACACAGACTCTCCTGTAACTACACATACTTATTGGATATATGTAAAAATTATGAAATGGCACAACCCTACTGAATAAATGCACATATATTGCTCATAGTAAAGCACCCATTGCTGGGTCAAGCAGACTACAGGAATTAAACTCTCAGATGTATTATTCACTGCCTTTCTAGCAGAATGTTCTCAACCACAGGTGGAGAGTGTCTCGAGTCTTGGAAGATCCCTCCCTACGGTTGCGTTTGTGTGTGAGATAAATATCAGCTTCTCACAAGATATCGGTCAGTTTCTGTCTCCTGTCAGTGAGCCCCAGCTGTGGCGGCTACAATTTAGCTCCTCACCATCAGGTTGTGAGTGTGTGTGTGCTTGGATAAATGACTGATTTTGTTATGAAGCACCTTGGGTGGTTGTAAAACTCTAGGAGGCGCCATACAAATACAGGTCATTTACCATTTGCTAAGCGTGTTTGAACCTAAGTTTGGCCAGAAAATGTATTTGGAATACTAGGGATAAGTATGTACATACCACATATTCCTGCACAAGGTTCTCTGGATCTTCCCCCATGTAGACACAGAGTCCTTTGATGATACACTCGCGTCCAGCGTCTGGCTCGTCACACTGAAGACAAAATCATCAAGATTTTCATGAAATTAAAGGGGTCCTAGAATGGATTTTATTCAAAATGTATGTGTGTAAATATGTGTTTCTAGATGTGTGTGTAGATATGTGTCTTGATGGGTGTGTTTGTGTGTGTGTAGATATATTTGTGTGAGTGTGGATGTGTGTGTGTGTGTGTGTGTGTAGATGTATGTCTGAGTATATATGTGTGCAGTGATGTGTGTGTGTGTGTGTGTGTACACATCCTCGCCTCTGTCAGTATTCCCCAGGGCAGCTGTGGCTACATCGTAGCTCATCACAATCAGTGTGTGAATGTGTGTGTGAATGGATGAATGATACACTCTAGTGTAAAGTGCTTTGGAGTCCTTACTCTGTGAGGCGCTATACAAGTGCGGCTCATTTATCATTTACATAATTTTGTGTTAAGACAGTAGACTTTAGACCAGGGGTGGGTGATCCTGGTCCTTGAGGGCCGCTATCCAGCAGGTTTTAGCTGTTTACCTGCTCCAACATACCTGATTCCTGGATGAATCACCTGTTCAGCAGCTCATCAGGCTCTGCAACAGCCTGTCAATCACCAGCAGATTCAAACCTGGTGTGTTTAAGCAGAGAAACAACTAACGCCTGCTGGATAGCAGCCCTTGAGGAGCAGGATTGCCCACCCCTAGTCTAAAGTCTACTGTCTTAACACAAATTTATGTATTCAATTCTCTGAGAATATAACAGGTTCTATAATAGCATGCACTTTGGAAAGAAAAGGCATGAAGCTGACAAATATAAACAAAATTTACAATTTGAATAAAAAAGTAGAAAAAATATTCTGAGAAAGTTGATAGCAGTTTCCAAAACTTACATACTCTCCACATAATTAAAAACTCCAAAGCTGTGGTGTACAACCATGATGACCTGCTGAACAGGTGATCAGGGGCTGAATGGGGCCCCTTGAGAAACATGGTTTGAGACCCCTAGTCTTTCTGAGTGGTGTTGCATGTTCTCCCAGGCATGCGTGGGTTTCCTTCAGGTACTCTGGTTTCCCCCACAGATCACAACATGCCCCATAGGTTAACAATTTTACGTCGCTTTGGATAAAAGTGCCTGTCAAATAAATAAACAAGCACACACACTTTACTTACATCAGGTATTTGTGCAACAATCGTTTTGAGCCTTCTTCCTAGCTGCCCTCCTCTTTTTTGGAACAACTTTATAAGGGTGTCAGAGTGGAGATCCAGCTGAGACAGGAACTTTGACTGTAGTGGAACTGTGGTTATCCTCTCAAATTCAGCATTGATCTGAAAAACAGAGCACAAATGACATAACATGTTACACATTGAAGGCAAGTCACTCAACAGAAGTGTCACAGACAAGTAACATAATCAGCCATAGAGCCCTGCACGGGCCTAAAATCTGAGCCCGTGTCCGGCCCGGCCCGAGGAGCACCAGCTCGACCCAGTCCAAAAAGGTTTTCAGGATTCTCTGGCCCAACCCGAGCCAGACTTTTTTTTAACCTTTCATAATGTTTTAGCGGGATAGATTGCTCGGCATTCTAATTATCTGTGAGAAGCGTTCTGCAGTAAAAAAAAAAAAAAAAAAAAAGAAGAGAAAGAAAAACAGCATCAATGCAGCTTTTTTTTCTAACAGAGCGTATTTTTCGAGCGGCAGATGAAATTTATGAACACTATATTAATTGGATGCATTTCTAAATTAATCTGCTCTGAAAATGCGCTCTTGTGCAATTAGAAAAAAAAAAAGCAGCATTCTAATTTTCTAACTGCAGAGCGCATTTTCAGTGCGGCAGATTAAATAAACACCCCCGAATTAATACAGCGTTTGTAAATTTAATCAGCCGTTCTGAAAATGCGCTCTCCAGTTAGAAAAAACCCAGCAATGAATGCTGTATTTTTTTTTACTGCAGAGCAAATTTATTCACAGAAAAATAGAATGCTGCCATTTTCATGAGAATAAATGAATGGTTTCTGACATCAAAGTGGACATAAAATGGCATGTTAGAATAGGGGCACATGTTTCAATCAGCAGTTTGAGAATTTGTTTATATAGGTGCATTTATAAACCACACACACCTTAACTGAGCTAACGGTGCCGGTGCGTGAGAAGCAGGCAGGTGCTGCTGCGTTCAAGTTTTTAAGTATTTTTTTAATGATTTCGATTAAAAATATAGGCGCCCGGCCCGTGTCCGAGTTAATTACACAGTCATTGGCCCGAAGCCCGGCCCTCGGGGTGGGCCGACCCCTGGGCCTAGGGCTCCGGTGCAGGGCTCTAATCAGCCACAACAGCTGTTGCCAGGTTTTGTTTTTCTATTAAAAAAATAAGCCCTTTACTTTGATAAACAACCATGCATGGTGCAAATCTTACCTCACTGACATCAAACAGGGCAGGCCATTTCGCCATGAAAGATTCCACCATTGGTGCATCCCGAACAACTTCATGTCGTCTTAATGCAAAGGTCTTTTCCATCTTGTGTTTTACAAGCTTTCTGTTGTTTCTCTGCTTTACATCCAAAAGTAGAGATTTCTGCATAGTCTCCAGTGTGTCCTCGGTTTCTGCTGCTGGGTATGGTGGACAAAAATTCACTTCTGCTCTCTTTGCCTTTTTAACACCAAAGGCTGCACTTTGCCTTCCAACAGGTTTGTTTTTTAAAGAGTTTACAGTCACCTCTGGGTATCCAAGTTTTCTCAGCTGTGTGCGGTAGTTAGACAGTTTATATTTTAAACTGGTCTTCCACCCACCACATCCAGTGCTGGACCCTTTCTCTGTCAAACAAGGATGCTTTTTGATGAGACTCTGGGCAACCTCGTGCATTTCTTTATCGTTGGCATAGACTTTATATTTCACAATTTCCTGCACCAAACTCTCAAGGATTGCCGATTTCAACTTCGGATCTGGAATAAGTGTAGTCCCATTCTGAATGTAAGCCAAATTTGCATGCTGAAGTTTCAACTCTGAATCAAAAGAAAACGTAGGAACATGAAACACAGCAGGCCACAATGATCGTGAGCCAACCAATTCACTCGATGACATCACATCCGTGTCCTCAGATACCCCTGACAGGTATGAGGAGTCACCAACAGAGGAAGGCGTGAATACTTGTGATTCTGAGACAAGATTAAAAGTAGAGTCCTCATCCATGTGCTGGACAGTAGCAGTCTTTGACACGTCAATGACTTTAAGAGTCCCTTTGTTTTCAACTTCGGAAATTGAAGTGAGGTTCAGGAATTCATTTCCAAACAAGGCATCCATAAACTGAAGTTTGAAATCTCCATGAAGTCCGCACTGCTTCCTCACTTCATCAGTTAGATCATCAATAGATGCTGGGGGTCCACTGGAGAGTGTCAGTCTCTGAGAGGTACCATCAGCCAAGATGATCTTTAGGATCATAGCAGTTCCCATTTTCAACACTTACTCTGCAAACAGAAAATTTACATGTAAATAATCAAAAAATGTTCCAAGTCATTCAAGTCAATTTTCCTTCCAGTTACTTACAACAGCAAATGTTCAAGCTTAAAAGCACAGAAAAGAACAGTAAATAGAGTAGGGCTGCTCGATTATGGCAAAAATAATAATCACGATTATGGTGACTGAAATTGAGATCACGATTATTTAGGACGATTTTTCTATTTATGTTGATTTTATTTGTTTTTATTCAGTCATAAAATTGCTCAGGGCACAATCAGGACAAAAATAAATAAGAAACAAGATGATCACTAAAAGAACTCCTGATTCCCAGTATAAAAAGACCAATATACTTTTAGCCCATAGTCTATGACCCAAGGGCTATAGACCTTGGTTTAGCTCATTTAAGTCTAACCAGTACAGACCCAAATACCAATATCTTGCTAATACTGACAGCAAGAATTATACAGTGGCATTTATAACAAATAAATTGATGTTCACAAAATTTTGCATAACATTTATTGAGTCGTGTCAAGGTGCTGTAGGAGAGTGCACTAGCACCGTGTCCTCAGAGAGATTAGTTATTATTTATCAGTGTGAGGAACTTATTTCTACCTTATTTATAAATTATTTATTTACAAGTCCATCAGTTAATGTAATAATTGTCCCAACCACAGCTGCACCCCCACCCCCAACCTGCTCTCACAGCAAACGGGGCAAGCTGCACGTGTGTTTAGCACGCGCACATTTAGCCGTTTTTAGTGACTCAGGAGTCCGCAGGTGCGGTGTGTGTCACTCACTCTGGTTAATCCAACAGGGAGCCGGCTCCGAGAGCTGTCTTTAGCAACTGACACATCACTACATCATTCCCTTTCCTATAATGTCCTGAAGAACGGTCCGGAGCGCAGGCGGCGTGTTTAGCTAACCTGCAGGAAATGTCGACGACAGTTATCCAGAAAGTAGCTAAGGGTTACCAGAGATGTTTCTGAGGTGTTCGCTAGGTACTTTTAAGATTTAAAAAGCCAAGAAGGGGGTCTGAGAAGCTGCTAGAAATAGCGTCAAAGTCGCTAAGTTGGCAACACTGTAAGGAGCGCTTCATTTGCTACTCAGGGCAGCGCAAGCGGGAGGAGCAAATAATCGGCTTGTTTTGTTTTTTATAATCGTTCAAAACTCAGATCGTAATCGTGATTAAAATTCGATTAATTGAGCAGCCCTAAAATAGAGTGAAAAAAATGATCGAAAACAATAGCATCTCAGTAAGGCTTCCGCTGCCTTTTTGCGCCACTGATGCTTCCAGTGTGAAACTTCCTTTAAAAGGAAAGCCGGCAAACACTGATGAGGTCATTTGTGCAAACTAAAGATGACAACAAAAGATACAGGCCCATTGGAACCGCAGGAGAGCCATTTTTAATCACTGGAGAAAATAAATAAATTTTAAAAACTGCTAAAACCCAGGTGCACCTGTAAATGCAACAAATTGTGTTAGAAAACAACCACATGTAATATAGAAAACAAAAGCTTTTCATCACCTTTTATTTCTATATGTCTTTTCAAGGTCACCATCCGAACAGATCCAATCTTGTAGTCAACAAGAGGATAAGCATCAAGGAGTTCACTGAGTGCTACAAGAATCAATGATCTTGTGGATACTGAGTTGAGTTCAAAGGCTCTATAGTGTTCTCTGTACCAGCCACCAAGCTCTCTTACTATGTAGAATACACTTTGATGCAAAATGCAGATTTGGTCAATTTCACAAAATTCGGGCAACCCACCTGTTGCCCTGTGAACCAGTACCATTCCCTTCTTATAAGTTATGCCATTTACTGTCACACTCTGTGTAAGGTGAACCTCTGGTGTGTCAGGGAATCTATCTCTGATTGTTTGAGCTATCTCGTCTTTGAGCAAGTCAACAGGTAGAGTTGACACAGCTGAAACTTCAAGTTCAGAAGTGCTAAAACTTGGAGAGCTTAGATGGTAAGCTATCATCATCTGATGCCTCAAGGCCAGCGAGAGAGGAATATTTTTGTAGCAGCTTGTGTGTCTGACAATCTTCTTAAAAAAGCTATGCTTTGCCTCAAAACGCATTGTCCACTGACCGACAACTGGACCAAACAGCTTAATCATCTGAGGATAGTGCTCCAAATAATGGTGTTTTGGGAGCAGTTTGATGTCTGGGAACAACGCTTGGTATCTTTGCCTGTGTTCTAAGATCTTACTTTCTAAAAAGGCCAAAGAGTCATCACTATGTACAGGAGCGACTACAAGCTCTGTGATGTCCTTCAGATCCATGAGAACAAGCCAAGCAGGCTCATTTTCAGGCACAAGTGATCCAACTAAAAAAGATAAAAACCTGAGTAAGCTCCAGTTCTCATGTGCATTGCCTCCAACTGTTTTTGTGCTGGAGAAACTTTGTGACACCACATGCGGTTTATTTGCCTTGTCACCAAATTTGTAGGGAAACTTCAGAATAGCACTATTCAAATGGGCCAATGTGAAAAACTTTTTGGATATAAGCACTGATAAGCAATGAGCCAACTCTACTGGTATTATGCCCTCAAAAACATCATGAGCAAGATCGGGGGGATAACCAAAGATGACATGAAAGTGAGTTAGATTTTTGGTGAAGATGCATTCCCTTTTTACTCCAAAACAACCTGTGCCTGTTTCTTGGGCTTGTTGGACATGAACCTGATGAAGCTCCTTGGTTCTTTGAGGAAAAGCACCAGATGCAACAGAGTATAGTTGAATGTCCTTGTTCTTTCCTATGCAAAATCTACAGTAGTACTCCACAGAAAAACTCTGCAAAAATCCTGCAACACTGTGTGCTCCCAGGTTGTCAGCAACTACACTGAATAGTGTACCTTTAACTGACTCTCCTAACAGCGGTACATAAACACCATGTTCCTCAAGTATTTTCAAATCCTGTAGAAGAGGTTCCAAGATTTTATCATAACCATAACTTTTAACATCGTTGGTTTTACACAAGACTGATAAGTAGATGGATGATAATGAGGAATTAGACCCCTGGGGCAAGTTAGCCAACACCCAATAAACAGCACAAAGCTTATGTTTCTTCCTTGATGTGCCAAGAGGGTTGCAGGTTTCAAAGTCATCCACATAAAAATTTAGGATGATCCTCAATTTTTCACCAGCAAGAAAACAATTTCCATTAAATAGAGAACCATCTTTTGAAGAACGGTACAGATCCGAGTTTCCACAATCTGTCTCCTCTTGCTTTTGATAACTTTCAACAAACTGCTCAACAATATCCCTTCTACTCAACAGCTGTTGTAAAGACTTCAGTAAGGGGACATATTGGAAACTGTGTTTGTTTTTAACATTAAGTATGTATTCAACTGGCTCTACGACACTGAACTTCTCCTTGTAATATAGCTTACGAAGATAAGCTGTACTTAAAGGGCCACCCTTTTGAATGGATCTTTGCACAGGATTACCAGAGCAAATAGCATCAACTGTTTCTGCAACTATAACTTCATCAACAAGGAGGTTTCTCTGATGAAAGATGTTACTCAATGTGTCATAAGATAATGGGATGGATGCAGAACAAATTAAATGATGGAGTTCCTCTAAAAATACATCAATGGCTGAACTGGGTACAAGAACCAAATGCTCCAACTTCAGCAAAGCAGCAGCAAATCTTTGCTCTATTACTTCATGCACATTCTCAGTACGACACTGACCACGTGAAAGAATGACAGCATCAGACTGTTCTGCTAACTCCTGATCATTTTGCTCTAAATCATTTTCAGTTTTGCTTTTTACAACTACTCCCTGTTTAAAATCAGCTAGTCTGTGATGGCTATGTTTGCGATTTCTGTGTGTTTTAAATGTGCTGTAAATGTTTGTTTTGAACTCACACCCTAAAAACATACAAATGACAGTCTCATTTCTTTTAAGATGGGAATATATGTGAGCAAAATAATCCCTTTCTGATGACAAATCATTGCAACTACACAAGTGGCAGCTGAAAATTGCTTTCACTTTACAAGAGACTTCTGTGCAGTGAATTTTACTTTGATGGACAATAAGGGCATTCCATGTCTTAAAGGTACACGGACAATTCTGGTATGTGCATGGAAAGTGAGAACTATGTCCAAAATGTGGATGCTTTAATTTGTAGTGATGCAAAAGCTTAGACCTACTTGACACAGTTTCTGTGCACCCCTTACATCTCCACATTCCCAGTAACACCTAAACCTGTAAGACACAATCAAATTAATCATGAGCCACATTATTAAAATACCAGCTTGCAATTAAGATACGAAAACAACATACAATACACAATTCTAAAAGCATTATAAACATGTTTAATAATATTAAATAATAGTTACTGGTGTTTAACTATAGCTTAGAATATGGCAAGATGACAATAATCTTGAATTTAGAAATTATTAAATTTCCAGTAGCATAAAACAAATGTAATGATATTCATTTTATTACCAACACCACACTGTAAATAAATATAACAGGATTTGCTTCACAGTCTCTGATTTCATTGGGAGGGGAAGCGGCTGTCTTGTGCATTTCATACAGATATATCTTTATTCACGGATGCTCCTTGTGGAGCTCAGGCATGCATGTTATTAAGTCCGGGTAACTGCGCACATCCACACTTGCTGGAGGGAAAAAAAAACCCGTCTCCAGCCATTACCCACAGCTATATCTCTGCGATTTAAGACTTTCAAAATAAAACCTAGGGATTTTTAGATATCACCACTTTAGACTTCCAAATGAATTTGAAATAGCTAGCTAGCTGTGAGACAAGGACACCGAGCAGATCTGGTATCGACACCGGCCATCTGAGCACGTGACGTCACGCTACAATGGTTCTATCCTGCCGCCCAAACGAACGGTGCACAAACGGCCCGCGCGCACCCCCCACCCCACCCCACCCCCACCGTTCGGAGAACAAACGGTCCACGCGCACCCCCCACCCCACCCCACCCCCACCGTTCGGAGAACAAACGGTCCACGCGCACCCCCCACCCCACCCCACCCCACCCCCACCGTTCGGAGTACAAACGGTCCACGCGCACCACCCACCCCACCCCACCCCCACCGTTCGGAGTACAAACGGTCCACGCGATCCTCAATCCCCGACGGAACGCGTGCACCCGCCGCATTGAAAGGCTGGCAACCCAAGTTTGTTCGCAGCTGAAGCCTAGCCACTGTTTTTAAGGTTTAATTTGGTGCAGTCCTGCGCTGCATGTTAATAATTCTGAGAACTCAATGTACCAAACACGGCATCCATTTTATACTGCTCTTTCAGTGGTTTAATTAGCTTGCTGACCGACAAAATTGCTACATACACGGACATATAAAAAAAGGCTACTTTCCACCGAACATGAACACTGAATGTTTGACAGTCCACACAGCGTTATCAACTTAACAGCATTGAAAGCAAGCTAGCATAGTGCTCTGAATACATAACTCGACAAAAACAATCTAGACATGGCTCATGCTTAATCTTAAAGTAATTTTACTTACTTTCTCACTCAGTATCCATGTGCTCACTCAGACTCCACATTAGCTCCATGCGAGGGAAAAAGCCGCAGGCTTCTGCTGCAGGTGGTTACACCCGTCTCCTCCAATCTTGTTGGGTGATCACAATTGGCTGAAAACGCTTTCAATCGTCCAATAATATTTTACGGCGCCTTTTTTGAACAGTGTCATTTCCGGTTTTAGTTGAACATGATTATATTGATTTAAATTAGGCAATGTAATCACTTTTAGTCAATGCAAGAAAATTGTGTACATTTAACATTGTGGAAAAATAACTCCAGTTTACTTCAATAAATCATGTATACAGAAGAAACATGTATAAATTGTGTAACACCTACAAAATATGATTTAGCATATTCAAAGACCTGCCAATTACCTTTTTTTCAGTGCAGTTTGTCCCAGAAAAACAGAAAAATTAGATAATATGTCTGCTTTTGATGTTTTCTCCCTCCAGCGTTTGGATGAAAAACTGCTGATAGGGTTTGGACAGAATCAAACTGATATTTATGACTTATTGTTTAAAGTAGTTTAGAATTAGATGTAAATAATTATAAAATGGCTCATTTAGGAATCTCAGTGCTGATCAAATCTGGTAAATCTGTTACATTACTGTCTATTTTAGTATTATAACTTATATTATTCACATTTATAGCCTTTTGAAGCTTATTTTCGGTGTTTTTCTTGTTTATATTATAGACAGTCAGTATTCCTCGTATTCTGATGCACTGTGGGTTGAGTTGTGGTATTTATTTGTTATAAAATGAAGAAAAACAAACTTACAGTGACACCAGCCCAAGTGGCAGCACCAGTGCAGCTTGAAGCACTTCCCGTGGCTGTGCGTCGCGCAAATGGAGAGCCCATCGCAAGGCAGGAAGTCTGGTCTCCCCGCACAGCTCTTGGCCAAAGCCTGCGCCTCGTCCAACTTCTCACTCTTCGGACACTTATGCGCTCCCGATGCGGCCATGCCAACATTTCCTGGGGGTGGAAAAAATAATACGCACACACGATGTTCTCAGAGTAAACTAGAAACCAGCACGCAGACGCAAAAAGCACGGCGCAGGGAGTCCAAATCCACAGCAGCTCGGTTACTGCTCAAAGAAAAGGTGGTGTGGAAGTAGAAGGGCGTCATCAACGGTGAGTAATGCCATATTTAAAGCTGCCCGTCATCCACACAGCTCTCCATCCTCCTGCCTGCGCGTCGGGAAGCTCCTCAGCTGTGCGGCGCGGTGACGCGCATCTGAACTTCATCACACGACGGGAGGAGCCCACAAACACAAAGCCAGCTGCTGCGCGCACTTCAAACGAGGCTTTCATCAGCTCTTCCAACTACTTCAAACAGCAAGGTCTCGAATTAATATTCATGATCTACAATCGACCTTAAAGGGTTGGCTTTGGAAGTAAAAAACGCACAAGGTGTCTTTCCATTTAAATCTGAAAACTAATCAGGATTTTTAACTCGTGTTTCCACAACCGGGAACACATCTGGGAAAATTAAGCATCGTGGAGTGCTCCAGCAGCTAGGGGGTGATCCCAACATCTGTTGGGTGTGAGACGGATTTTACTCCAGAATGAGCCCGATTTTTACTTGTTTAAATCCGAGTCTCCCTCTGCTCTTTTGTCACCATTACAGCTGATGCAGCAGAAACCGGAAACAGCAGAGCTGCTCTGAAATCAGGTCTTCCAGAATAAACTAGAACAGCAGAAGTCAAGAACAGATAATATCACATATTTTATTCAGAATGCTAGAAAAAAAACACCACACTCAGTAAAATGTTTTTATTTATACATCTCATTATAATACATGCAGCAAACATGTTTAAAACATGTTTAGAAACACTTTTAAAAGAGCATAAAAGTAAAAAAAAAACTGGTTCTTAGAATAATATTTGGAAAATATTAAGGCCAGTATCTGTAACCACTGCGGTTATGCATCACCTGCAAAGTCACAAAAACACACCTGAAATATATTAAAACTGTTTACTGGTTAGAAATGTATTTTATCACAGCATCATGTGCAACAGCAGCATCATAATTTAAGTTTAGTTTTTTGGATTAAATATAAACACCTATCAGTGTTTGTGAAAAATTAATAATCCCTCATCCAAAATAATCTGAACATAAAATTGTTAGATTTGCATTCAATTTAAAACATATTATTTTATCAAAGCAAAGTTGTTTATCAAAATAACTTGCCCTAATTTCTTTAAGCACTGTCGTATCTGTGCAAAACCCAGAAGTTTTTGTCTCACGTTTGCATAAAACTGAACAGGAAAACAGCTAAAATCTTTATTTTAGTGATTATGAAAACAGAGATAACACATTTTGATGTAATCTTTGGTTAAAACTACAAAGAGCTGCAGACTGCAGACCCCTGGATTAGATTAAGTCGGTATTTTGCAGTAAGCAAATCAACAAAACATACAAGAATAGAACAGTTAGCTTACAAAAGAGTCATGTAAACAGAGATTACAAATTTAACAATTATTTAATGGTATTTTATGGCATTTTTCTGCCATATCTAAACCAGATGGTATCAAAGTAGCACTGAAATTTCCTGTTTCTCCCCCTACTGGTTGAGAGCAGAATTACAACTGCCATAAACTACTTTCTTCATTCTTGCATAAGGCATCTCTAGGTAATTCAACATTTCAATGTTTAGAGTGTAGGCACTGCAAACAGTAAACGTTTCAGTTTATTTAAGAGGACTATTGTTTAAATGCATTTCCTCCAGAGAAATTTAGACTCTTGCTGACTGAAGACTCCTCTGAACATTACAGGAGGTCCTTTCTTGCCACGGCCATCCATGTAAACAGCTTTTCCTGTTTCTGCTGAGGCTGCAGCTCTAGATTTTACAACCTCTGTCATTAGCTCTCATTATTGCAAATTAGCATTCAAATGACTTGGCTCCGTCTCTAAATACTCCATTTTCAAACCACTGACTGTTATTTTTTTTTACTCTTAATTGCTCTCACATGTTATTCTTAGCAAAATTGTGCTTTAATTATCTGAAATATAGTAGATTTACAAGGATTGATTTGTTTTATTCCAGTATTAAACTGTGTGTGTGTAAGTAAATAAATACACACACACACACACACACACACACACACACACACACACACACACACACACACACACACACACACACACACACACACACACACACACACACACACACACACAGTAAGACTGTGAATCATATTTGGTGATTCTTTTTAAAGATGGCTGTGGGGGTTCTTGATGACCTCCACCCACTTGTGGATTGGTGGTCTGCCGTTGGCCACCAGCTTCCTGAGCAGGCTGCAGGGCTGCAGGCTGGGAATATCCAGGTGCAGCTGATGGTAGTACTCCAGCTTCTCCAGGATCCTGCTCAGACCCACCATCTGAGCGTAGAACATGGGCCCCCCACGGTGCCGGGGCCAGCTGTAGCCGAGCACATAGATGACGTCGATGTCTTCCGGTCCTGAGGCGATTCTATCCTCAAGAATGCGGAAGCCCTCGTTTATCAGCGCGTAGAGACACCGCTCCAGAACCTCCTGGTGATCTATGCGGCGTGCCACAAAGCCACGCTGGGCTCGATACTTCTCCAGGAAGCTGTGCAGCCAAGGATCAGGTTTAGCCACTCGACCGCCAGGTTTGTCGTACTGATACCATCCTCTTCCCGTTTTCTGACCGAACCTTCCCCGCTCACAGAGCAGGTCCCCCAGCGGGCTGTACCTGCAGTCTTGGTGGGTCTTAGAAACCATCTCCTTTGCTTTCCTGACTTTCCAGCCAATGTCGAGCCCGGAGAGGTCGGACATTCTGAACACGCCCATGGCAAACCCAAACTCCTCCAGCGCTTGGTCTACAAGCTCCGGTGTTGCTCCCTCTTCCAGAAGAAAGAAGGCTTGATCCAGATAGGGCCTCAGCATTCGGTTTCCCACAAAGCCGCTGCAGTTCCCGACCGCCACGCTGATTTTGTCCATGTTCTTTCCAATCTTCATGGCGGTGGCCACGGCTTGAGACGACGACCGTCGTCCGTACACCACCTCCAGCAGCTTCATCACATGAGCTGGAGCGAAGAAGTGCATCCCCACCACCAGCTCTGGGTTCCGGGTTTGAGCGGCCAGCTCGTCGATGTCTAGCCCAGAGGTGTTTGTGAAGAGGAACGTACCCGGCTTGCATATGGCCGACAACTGCCGGAAGACCGTCTTCTTCACCACCATGTCCTCAAACACAGCTTCGATGACGAGGTCAACATCTGCCACGGCCTGGATCTCACAGCTGTAATTGATTTTATCTAGAGCGGGTGGGGCCCCAAGTCTCTTGGCTCCTCGCTCCAACATACCCGACACCACCCGCTTTGCTTCCATCAGCTGCTTCTCGTGGGTCTCCACGGCAACCACCGACAGCCCTGCCTGTGCGAGGGCCACCGTTATACCTCGTCCCATGGTGCCAAGTCCTAAGGAATCAAAAACCAAAGACTGAAATCAGACTCCATCCACTCCGATTTTTTTCTTTTAGTCAGGCTGCTTTTCAAAGCTTGCATTTTTAATGCCCAAGCTGCTGAGCTTCACATATCCAAATCATAAGTCCAATCCTCCCTGCAGGGAAGAGCTCATCCATTAAACTCTGATGAACTGTAGATGAGGGCGTAGTTTCTAAAGGCAACACGAATTTGGAGATACCACAAGGATCGCTTGATGGTGTTAATTGAAGGTCGAGTACAAATTTAAGGCTTAACGCTCTTACCAATGACAGCTACTTTGTGCACAGGCCTGGGCTTGCTGGTGTCCCAGCGGGCTCCACTGGGAGTGCTCCACCTGCTGACAGCTCTCTGGGCAAAGAACTGGTACTGTAGAGCGCGCGCCTGACCCGAGGTGAAGAGCGTCGCCATCAGCTGTTTTTCCTGCTCCATGCCACGAGCAAAGGGCAAAGTGGCGGCTGCGTGAACCGCCTGGACACACGCAACCGGTGCAATGGCTCCTCGGGCACTTCGCCGTACCCGCTGCATCGCTTCCTCGAACAGAGCATCCGCATAAGGAGGGCGTGGGCACTTACAGGTGCTGATGCGACGTGAATCCAGTGATTTACCTGAAAACGCGACATAAAATTCACTGAATAAAATGACGTAATAAATAAAGCTGAACGTGAAAATATTCTTCTACCACTACTTCCTGTATTAGCCACCAATTAAATGTAGATGTGGAAAATGCTTGGATTAGAAAAGCCACTCAGATCTACATCACACTGTAAATTAGCATTTATGGATTCACCCATCTTGGCTCATCTTAGCTTCCAGGAAAAAGCAGAATGCGTGTTGGCGAGCAGCAGCTAACCGTTACCATTAGCAACTCCACCGCATGGCAGAACTCCTTCATGCTTGTGTTATTAGTGGAGATAAAACATAAATGTTGTAAAACAAACCGAGTCAGCGGTAGAGTCGTGTTACTCTTAGCCAATCAGAGACGAGATGTCTGAATATCAGGAAATGAGACTCCTTAACCTGCCGTCTTCTGCTCCAGCTAACTTCTACTTCCTGAAACAGGAGCGCCAGAGCTTCCCCCCCCCCCCCCCCCCCCCGCAGAGATCAACTCAAAAAGCATTTATTTAAACTAGAGACCACTGCAAATGTGTTGCAAAAACAAGTGAACTTGGCCTTTAAAGGAATGAGTGACAGCAGGAAGTTAAAAGTAATGGAAAATGTACTCTGAATGTTATTTTCCGAATGCATCTGCATAATTCAAGTTTGACTTTTCGATCAGTGCAGCACTCTTGAAAGTTTTCAGACAGCGAGTCTTGGTGTAATTCATTTTTCAGACACACTCATCCACTCAGTCCCTACACAGCCCAGTAGCTTCTGAGAGCCGAGTGATCTGACAGACCGTTTCCAGATAATCGCTGCAAGCGGGCCTCCGAGCAGACACAGTCCACCTTGAATAGCTGCTGCTCTGAGCAACGACTTGGTTGCAGGTAAAACAGCTGGTTTCAAAGCGAGCAAAGCGAATCTTATGCTTTTGAGAAAAGTAGCCTATAAGAGATATTTCACAAGAAATCAATTAGAGCAAAAGCAGAAAGCCACTCTGCTCGAGCTTCCTCTGACGTGATTACACGAGACAGTCGTCAGAAACCTTCACAGCTTCGCTCATTTACACTCAGCTGTGGGTCTGACTCAGAAACTGGGTCGCCATGGTGAAGCTTAAAGCGCCAGCAGCCATATCTGATTAGTAATATCCACTTTTTTTACCTGCAGTAACAACAACAACAACAACAAATATTTTTAATATCACCAGCTGAGAATAAATACCAAAGATTGAATTGTGCAGCCGAGGGGCGGTGAGGTGTAATGTGGCAGTCGGATGTGATTCCTGTGTGATTTAGGAAGCATTATTGCAGCAGTTAATCTGTAAATGGTTGAGCTGTGGATTTGCAGTGAGTGGAGAATCCTGGCTGCTCCGACAGATGTAGCGGGCAGATGTTGCAACCACTGGGGTAAAAAAATAAATAAATAAATAAAAAGTTAATCTCGTCACAAGTGAGAGACTTGAATCTGCTCGCCTGCAGAGGGCCTCTGCCCATGCTGCAACTCGAGCATCAAGTCAACTGCAGATGGCTTTTTTTGCATGAATATGTACCCGTGTGGCACTTTGTAAAGATGCATATAGTCTTTCATGTGGCAGCCAAAGTGGCAAAACTGCAAACACTTGTATTTTTGTAACACAAATTTGCAGGTTTTATTCAGATGCTCCGTGCTTTCATGCCATATCCGTTGAGTTTCACACTTATTCTCAATTTCCCATAAAAAGTCTCAGTTTTATTAACACTCACATCCTCACCCACTAAATCATCTCTGTATTGGCATGAAAGGGGGAAAAAAGTTCTAGAATTCCAGAAAATTTTTTATTTAAAATGATGCATTGTGTGAATCTTCAGATTTAATTTTTGGGACATTAACTGTATTTTTAGAGCCTTCTGTTAAGGGACACTAAAGAAGTGGGGAACCCTAGTCCTCCAGGGCCGGTTTCATACATGTTTAGCTGTTTTCTTGCTCCAACACTCCCGATTTCATGGTTTAATCACCTGTTCAGAATCTCATCAAGTTCTGCAGAACCCAAGAATCACCTGCTGATTAAAATCAGGCGAGTTGAAGCAGGGAAACAACAAAAACATGCAGGATAGCAGCCCTCAAAAGGACCAGAATTCCCCACCCCTGTTTTAAGCTATTGTTTTTAAACTGGTTTCTGTGATTCTTGAGCCAACTTCACACTGGACAGCACTCTGTCACCCTCTGCAGACCAGAAGCTGCACCTAACAGATTGTGGTTAAGGTAGAAACACTAGTGGGAGTTTTCTAGCTGCTTTATTGCAAAAGCTGGTTACTGTGCCGATAGCTCATATAAACGCTAGCACTTAGCTTTGTCAGTTTGCAGACTGTCAATAAAAAGCACAAGAAGAGGAATTTTCCTTTTCTTGTTGGCATCATGGTGGAGCCCTGAAGTAAGAGAGTAATGTCTCTTACTTAGGCAAAGAAATGAGCGAAAACCAGAGTCAACATCACTCGTTTGATGAGCGTTAGCTCAATGTTAGCACTAGCTAGAGCAGAAGGGTTGTTTACAACAGCTAGAAGTGAGAAGTGGGAAATGCATTCTTTTGAACCAGTGGTTCCCAAAATTGGGAACGGGGTGCCAGTGTGGGTCACTATGAACTTTACGAGGGGTCTTGAGATGATTTCTAGAAATTAAAATATAACTGAAAAGCTGAAGCTTTATTTGAAGTATAATTACTAAAAAAAAACTCAACTGAATGACCATAAATGGATATAGGTGAACATGAGCTGGTGTTTTTCTTTATTGTATGAATTATTTAGTTTTTTAAGCATGTTTGTATTGTTAAATCAGAAATATCTGGAGTCGCATGTCTTGACAACTGCTACTTTGTGGGTCTGAAGCTGAAAAGTTTGGGAACCGTTGCTGTAAACGTCGCATAAATAAGACATCAACACTAAAGAATCCATCAACAAACAGTTTAAGATGACATGTCTGGAAAAAGTAAATGTGTGTTTGTTCCATGCAAAAGAATCATAAGCTTTTCTGCCACCAACACGCCACTAAAGCAAAACACACCTTTCCCTTGTGTCTGCCAGCACACAGAAACACACACCAGAGTGGGCGGTGTGTGTTTAGCTCAGTATGAAACAGAAAAAATAAAAAAATAAAACAAGCTGAAATAAAATGAATAGTAAATTTTACAAAGCACTCTAAAATCTAAAAACATTGCTTTTCTTTACAACATGAGGATTTTATTTTATTTTTCCATCTGGTGCTCTCTTGTCATTTTTATCACCAGATCTTTGCAGACAGAGAAACCCTTCCTCTAAAGCTGCAGGGATGTGGCACACTTCAGGAATCTCCTCAGAGCCTAAATGAGTCTGATTCACGTGCAGGCGGCGATCCTCTTCCTCCTACATGACTGCTGAGGACCCGGTATTAATATTCTAGGAAAGTTTGTCCCTTTTCGCCCTTTTGAATAATACAGCAAAGAGCAGCGAAGACATCAGAGTGCTTCTGACAGAGCCATGAAACATTGACGGCTTCTGTGGTTGGAGGATCTGGCTGCCGTGTCTTCTGTTTCCTTTGACTTCCAAAGCATACATCTAGACACTTCTTGATGTCAGACTAGCCTAAAATAACCACTGAGAGGAGTTTTCTCTTCCTTCCACCGAGTAAAAATTTGAACTTGGGAAGAGAGTTTCCATCATTCCACTTTTGGATCTTACCTGCAACGCTCAAGGCCAACTTCACAGCTGCTTCAATGGTGTTATGATCAGTCACAAAGTCAACTAGTCCCAGCTGAAGAGCCTCGGCAGCGGTCACATGACGACCTGTAGGACAGAAAATAAATATGAGTCATTCAGATCTTCTAATTCAACAAAAGTTACTTTAAGACTAGTAAGTATCAAACAGAATATGATCTAAAGGTCCAGAAGTAATGATTATTTAAAAGGGTGTATTAAGATCAATTCCGATAATAAATAATCATCATCTTTAGAACTAAGCAGTAAATCCCAATTAAAAGACCTAAAACTAAACAAATGCTGCCACCTGCTGGTTGTCTGTGGAACAGCTGCTACATTTCTGCAGTAGTTCCTTATAACATCTGGTCCAATCAGTTAAATAACAACTAAAGCCACAAATAAACTAACAACAAGCAAATCATTGAACCTTTAACACCTTAAAATAAAATATAGACCTTCAAAGGAGGAAAAAATAATTTGAAGTCCTTGAGTTAACTTAATTGGAAGCTCCTTTTGTGGCAAAAACAACCTTCAGGTGCAGTCAGAGAACATTTCAGCTGATTATTCTTTGCCTTGGCTCCTTTGCTTTGGAGAATAGTTTAAAAGGACCGTCGAGCAGAAACCGGCGACAGAGGCGTCTATGGAGCACTTACAACGACGGCCTTGCGTGAATGTTTCACCAGAAGGATTACAGTTTTTCTCAATTGTTTACACACATTTTCTGGTACTTGAGACACAATTACCACAACATGTAACCAAGTAACCAACCCCCCTAACCAATTTTGCGAAACTACAAGCACAATTCCTGCTTTGCACTCAAATTTCAAATTTAAAACACACTTTTCTCAAAACACTACACACAATTCTCTGCTGTTGGCACAATTTCCATACAGGAACTAGCTTGTTCTCACAAGGAACACACTGCTATTCAAATGAGCACACTGACTCATCACAAGGGCAAACACCTGTCACACAGTTTTACAATCAGCAAACAGAACTTTAGCATAAAAGGGCAACAGGTGAGCTCTTCTGTGTTGGAGCAATGGATGCCAACTTTGGAAACAGAGGCAGAGCCAGAGGAGTGAGATTAAGAGGAGGACGGGGAGGATGAGGGTGAGGAAGAGGAAGACCAAGGACCGTAATCTCTGAGATCCGAGCCACAGGTCAACAGGGTGCAATTTGAAGGAAACTCAGAAAGAGTGAAAGAATTGCGATATAACTATGTGCAACAAGTGAGTCCCGCAATTGATGCATACACTCAACACTGTGTACAGTAAATTATACATGTTTCAATATAGTAATCATAATGACTGTGCTTCACACTAGTGACCACTCCACGTTTATTTCTGATATTGTCATGTGTGTTTCAGAGAGTCCTTGAGCAAGAGGCAGCTGCAGGGGAGCACCAGTTCATCTTCATTGATGAGGTTGGATTCAGTCTCACAGAAAGACGAAAGAGGGGAAGGAATATCATTGGCCAGCGTGCCATTGTTGAAGTCCCTGGCCAGCGCGGAGGGAACATCACAATGTGTGCAGCGCTTGGCTACCATGGCATCATCCATCACCATGCTACCCTTGGCCCCTACAACTCCGCCCATCTGATCACATTCCTGGACACCCTACACAACACCCTCATTCCACCAGACCAGGTAGATGGTCCAGAACAGCCCAGGTACGTTGTCATTCGGGACAACGTAAGTTTCCACCGGGCTGCTGTGGTTCATACTGTAACTAGTTCACTGGCCACCCACGCTTTTTAGTTGTTTACCTCCCTCCATATTCTCCATTCCTCAATCCCATTGAGGAATTGTTTTCTGCATGGAGATGGAAGGTGTATGACCGACAGCCACAAACCCGTATACCTCTTCCCCAAGCTATGGAGGACGCATGTGGAGATATAGCAGCTGATTCTTTTCATGGCTGGAATCGCCATGCTAGGAGATACTTCCCCCGCTGCTTGGCCAGGGACAACATTGCTTGTGATGTGGATGAGGCGCTGTGGCCAGACCGCAACAGAAGAGAGGATGCAGCATAGCTTTAGTGTTTTACTGTAACTGTATACAGTAAATTTCTGTTGGATGTAGTTTATGTGTGCAACTTTGTGTTGGTTGGGAATGGGATAAACATTGTGTACAATGTTTTGTGGGAAAAATAAAATCATTTCTACCATGTATTTGTGTGTTCAGAGTGTAACAACAATATTCTGAAATAACAACACATGCATGTTTTTACTGTCTGTAGGTGTAACACTGAACCAAAAAGGCTTTAGTCATTATGATGAATGGAGAAGAAGTGTTTTCCATTCATCATAGTGTTTAACATTGAGCACGAGTGTTCTGCTGGTTCTTATAAATGTCTATTTATATGATGGTTTGTGCGTGTCATTTGACAACATAATCACATTTTGAGGAGAAATTACATTGTTTTGAATGTGAAGTTTACTTTTGCAGGTTAAGTGTGTGTGTATTTTCTGGATTTGTGTGTAGAGTTCTGAAAATATGGGGCATGCTTTCAGAAAATGTGTGTAAACAATTGAGAAAAACTGTAACAGTTATGCGGACCAATGATTCAGATGATCCACCCAGAAGAAAAAGATCTTCTGCTAAACATTTAATTGTCTCTAAGAAGATTGGACCAGAATGTATTACTCCTAACTACCAGTCAATTGTAAGAACTAAATATGCAACACGAGGTTCCTCTCTTTTTTTTACCTGTGGTGATGAGCTCCAAGGCTGCTGGGATTCCAACGAGCCTCGGCAGACGCTGGGTTCCCCCCGCACCGGGCAGCAGACCCAGAGTCACCTCTGGAAGTCCTAACCGGGTCTAAAAAGGCAAAACACCAAACTCATGTGTGATTAATTCCAAAGACTAATTTTGTCATACGACTTAAAGGAGACATTAGACTTTTTAATCTAAAGATGGAACAATTCTATGGTCGAATAAAAAACTCTCCACGCATAAAACGAGTTCTACTGATGTATTCTTGACATTTTTAGTGCCTTCCTGAATGAGCCGTTTCATGGCTCTGTCACTTTGTAGCCTCTTTTACAAAAGAATGCTGCCAATTTGCTGCCACGCCATATCGGCATCAGGGAGCTTTAAGACTTTACAAGTGGTTAGACCGTAACGGTAAATGGCCTGTATTTGAATAGCCCCATCTTAGGATTTTACAACCCCCCAAGGTGCTTCACAACACAATCAGACATTCACACACACATTCACATGCTGGTGGGGATGAGCTACGATGTAGCTAAAGTTGGCCCGGGGCGCACTGACAGAGACGAGGCCTGTCACACACTGGCGCCACCGGCCCCTCCGACCACCACTAGCAAGCAAGGTGGGTTAGGTGTCTCATTGGAGTCTTTTTAACAAGCTGCTCCTAAAGGTGTGTGTCCCCCACAGTCCCCGTGCAGTCTCCGGTGATCTAACCTCCAGCTCTAATGAAGAAAAGCTCCAGGAGCTCTGCATTGCTCCAGATTATTATCTCAGCTGATTCCCTTTACAAATGCAAAACTTGCAGGTTTTTACTTTCATTGTCATTATAGTTGCCGGCCGGAACTCAGCAGTAACTCCCCACGTAATCATGACACCTCCCTCTGTTGCGCCAAGGTGCAATGGCCGTTTATATGACTATTACTGCAATATGGCTACCAAGTGAGGCGGAATGAATGCCGCAGATATCGCACATCCTTATACCAGCATGCGCGTTAATAGACACACCCTTGCGTTAATATTACGCTTATTTGCCGGCACAGTGTGCCTTGTTAAAAGGGCTTAAGAAAACAAGCTGGCCACGCCCACCCATCCCCCACTATGGCTACTATAAGCTGAGAAGCTCTGCTCCTCCAGCAGCAGCTCCCTCTTGTATGTGATAGGTAGTTCTATGCTAATTTCCCCATTTGTGACATCACAAATGAAGACGCTTTGAAACGGCTTGTTTTAGACACATAATTGCAAAAACCAAACACTGACAGAAAATGGATTGATGTGTTTTTGTTTAAATTTAGTTTTTAAAGAGGCAGTAGAGACCCACATAGCAGCACAAAAAAACATGGGTTTTACGTAATATGTCCCCTTTAAACAATCTGTCATGTTAGACACAAACTAATCATCAGACCGAATCTCTGCAGCGTAAACTAACCTTAGAGTGTGCGACACGGTAGTGACAGCCAAGTGCTAACTCGAGGCCTCCACCTAGGGCGACACCCTCTATGGCTGCAACCACTGGTTTGGATGACAACTCCAATCGATCAATCATTGGTACCAGGGGCGGCCCAGTCATGTCTGATCTGAACTCCTTGATGTCTGCGCCTGTCATACAAAAATAAAACACATTGATGTTTTCAGAAATCATCAGATATTCTAAATAATAATATATTTATAGGTGCATCGCCTTATTAATGTTCATACCTCCACAGAATTTTCCATTCTGCCCACAGATGACCACAGACTTCACCTCTGGTTCACTGAGAGCTCTGTCCATCAAGTCAATCAGACTCTGCCTCACCACCGCACTGCAGGGATGATGAGGACAATAATAATGATTATCATCATCATCATTATTATCATTATTATTATTATTATAACAGAATTATCATATGGATGGTTGGATTCTTGAATGTAAATGAAGTGTTTCTCAAAGACAAAGCTATTCTCTGAGACAAGCATTACATAGTAAATGATTAAATAGTGTTCTGTATTCCACTCAGACGGTTTACAAATTAACAGGATTTGAAACGCCTGACCAGGCACAGTTTAGAGTACAATTAGAGACAGAGGTGAAAGTTGCCTTCAGCCTTTTTACGTAACAGAGTAGCAACACCAATGCCCTACAAATAAAACACTACTCCTACTAGTAAAATTCATTTACATGAATTATTTCGTTAATTAAAATTTAAAAGATACAAACTGCAAATAAAGCCTTTTCTGCAATTTTTCATGTTTTTAATACAAATACTTCGGTTTATTATATATGGCTGTAGATGATTACACATGACTGGACAATTTTCCTGAGAATGCACCGACTTAATAAAAACATCTGGCCCAGACGAAGGCATTTCCACCACAAGGTGTCACAGATGGAATGGAGTGCTTTTATAAATGCTTCACTGACTGGTTAAACAACACAATCTAAGGTCTGCATTGATCCAGTCCAACGAGCACTTGCTTGGACGCCGTTCTTATTTTGCAACATGTAAGCAGGAAAGTTGCTTTGCTACAGCTGCAGTTTTATAATCATTAAAAATTGTTTATTTTTTAAACATCTAGGCTTTTTATGCAAATATGCATAAGCAACATGAACAACATAGAGCTGGTTCCTTTTAAAGAAAGAAAGAAAGAAAGAAAGAAAGAAAGAAAGAAAGAAAGAAAGAAAGAAAGAAAGAAAGAAAACAACTCTTTAATCACACTGATTGAAAACATCTGACTCATTAACATCAAAGTTTACAGACTTAACTGTAGTGATTAATATAGATTTTGTATCTATACATCAAATGTGGTGTCGATTTAGCTTGTTTAGTTGTTTATAATCTTATGTTAGTTAATCAAGGCGCCACTAAGTTTTTGTTAGTGTTAACTTGGAACACTTGAATTTGATATTCAGATTTGTTCAATGTAATGTCAAGTTTAACACCACAACTTAATCTAAAGGATGAATTCTTGTCAGAATGTGCTGACTGTTCTCGAGATTGCTAGAAATGATCAGGCGTTATTTACGTTTTGTGAGTTTATTTAGAATTGGAGATAATTTCAAAAGGGTCGTGTGTGTGTGTGTGTGTGTGTGTGTGTGTGTGTGTGTGTGTGTGTGTGTGTGTGTGTGTGTGTGTGTTGGCAGCGGCAGCAGAGAAATGGAGTAGTCCTACTAGTTACTGTGTATTTGGATCTAAATAAAACGCCATAAAATTTTATAATCCGAATCGGGCTTAGCATTAAAAAGTCAGCTCTTTAAAATAAACTCATCCTTTTCAAACAATGTCTGAGGCATCAACATTTACCAAGATTACCTGTAGAAGGCATAAAAAATTATGACTTTAAACAAGAAAAGAACTAAATACATGTCTTAAACTTGACTGTATTACTGTTAGCATGAATTTTAATGGAGAAACTAAATGGCAGAGCTTTAACATGAAAGAGGAACACAAACAACATTTATGTCTGTAACTGATAAGAGTTTGACATTTAATTTGAACACACCGATTCTTTTAAATGGTAAACAACCTAAAATACTGTCTTTGACTGTTGATAAACAAAAATACTAGGTTTTATAAGGACTAAAGTCTGGAAACGTCCAGAAGAAAACCCCAGAGAAGTTTATGACCACCCATATCTTGTGTAAGAATCAGCCTTGATGGGTGGATATAAAACAGACCATTTTCTGATATTGTCCTGCTTCTCCGACTGGTAAAGAAGGCAAAACCAAGTGAATTGGTGCAATTTACGACCCTGGGAGAGAATCGTAGGAGTTAACCAGATGTGCTGGAAAAATAATCTTGTAATTTATATGACTGCAGGCCAGTTTAAATGTTCCCCTTTGGTTGCAGTGTGAGAGAAAGAAAAGCTTTGTGTGAAATAGTCCGCTGTCCTTCTTCTTGTGAATCCAACTAAAGTTAATTTGAGAATATGAAATGTGGATGGCCGCTACACCGGACACAATCAATTTAAACAATTTCCTTAATTATCAATGTTATTCATACGGAAAAATGTGGATTTCTTTGATTAGAATAAAGATTTATTTTTTAAATTATAGTTTATTTTGATCGTACATTTTTACATATTTTAAAAACTTTACAACACCTGTTAAAAAACGCTTCATTTGTAATATTTATTTAGACAGAAAACCTAATATGTACAAAAGTAGTTTAACTCTCTTGGAACAGTCCCACATGTCATATTTCCCTTGTATTGAGTAAAATAACAAAATAAATAAAAAAAATGATCATTTATAAATTTATAAAGCATTTGTCTTTCACAGAAAGCACAGTAAGTTGAAGGTAAGATTTTTTATAGGTAAGCTTTTTATACTTCGACTCACCTCAGAGCATTAACAGGCGGGTTTTGGAGAGTAATCAGCCCAACAGACCCTGAAACGCGACTGTAAAGAGCCATGTTACCGAACAAACCATTCGAAGTGTCGCTGCCAACTGCACTTCGAAACTTTTTAGCAGAAACCGCGATAGCTTTGTCTTGTTTGTCCCTCGAGGGATACCGTCCAAAAATCATGCCACTTAGTAAAGCATTGCTGTCCCCTGCTGGACCGGAGTGGATTTTATTTCCCTTTAATAATCATCAAATTACATTTTTTGACAACCATAATGCACTAGTTATTACTGAATAGATAGTTTATAATTCTATCATATCTTACATGTAAATTATAGAATGAATAACAAACTGAATTTTAATAAAATTGCTATTTGTGCACGCAGGGATGTGACGTCAGTGCGGCGGTTGACTGTTGTTCTCAAAGACAACAATCAGAGGTTCAGTCTAGTTCTACCCAGGTTCTACCACCGGGGGAAATGCGCTCGCTCGTCGGACTAGTCATTGTTGTGACCGTAGCCAGCTTGTATTTGTACTATCTGTCTCTGTACCTCCCAGCCCCGCCACGGAGACGTCCTCCTTCCGGAGCCACGACCACGACCGAACATGCGGAAGGAAAGGAGTCCGGGCATCTCGGTGACACTCCTGAGGAGACCAGCAGGTGACCCTCCGCCACACCGGTGTTGTGCTGAAAAATGTACCGTTTTGCAAAAAGCATCCACTAAATATCAGAGGAAATAATGGGTAACCTTCTCTGTTATGTCCAAATTTAGCTAGTTAGCTTATATTTTCGTTGCACTTTAACGCAGACCACTACCAATGACTTAAAAAATAAGTGTTACTAATTAGTAATCAGTGTGTTTCATTCCTTGGGATTTGGTTTGTGATGTTTATTCATTCGTTTTTAAATTTTTGTGAACAGAAAGAAAACCCAAGATTTCAGTGTAGGCTATTTGAAGCGTTAATGCATTTCTAATGTATTTCTTCATTCCAAACACTTGCATGGGCATGAAAAGGTGCATCCAGTGTTCCTAATTAACTGTGAATTTTCTCCCAGGCTGAAGTTCCCATCAGACTTGGAGGAGCTGAGGGAACTGGCTGAGCTCCTGCAGTTCTATAAAACCGAACACACTGGTTATGTTCTGCTGCTGTTCTGCAGCGCCTACCTCTACAAGCAGTCCTTTGCCATTCCTGGATCATCGTTCTTGGTGATTATATGATTGTTGTATTTTCATTGAATCACCGGAAGGTAAAGCTGATGGTAATTTTAATTAATTAAAACCAGGTTTGAGCAATCGGAACAAAACACACATTTGTTTCCTTGTTTTTTTTTATTTGTAGGGCCCACTGCAGCAGATAAGATAATTTATTTCCCATTTTTTTCTTCAATAGTCATTTCTTATCTTCATTTGCAATATTAATTCCTCATTTCTTCAGAGCACACAAGCACAGCTAGTGCCTGACACATCAAACTACCGTTAGATCTTGCAGTCCTGGTCTCATTGTGTCTCTCTCATCACACCTAAAGTGAGAAGATGTAGCAGCAGTCTTTTATGTCTGCTTGTGTTTGTGCAGAATATTCTTGCAGGAGCTATCTTTGGACCCTATGAAGGGCTGTTGCTGGCCTGTGTGCTCACCACGGTGGGCTCCACCATGTGCTACCTCCTGTCCCAAGCCTTTGGAAAGCATTACATCATGAATCTCTTCCCTGAGAAAGTGTCCATGCTGCAGCAAAAGGTAAGTAAGCATCTGAGCGAGATGAATACAAAATAACACTTAAACTGTCATGCTGTTGTCCGTCTTATTTTCCCTGGCTCACCCTTGACTTATCTTATCTCTGGTCCAGGTGGAGGACAACCGGGACTGTTTGTTCTTCTTCCTGCTCTTCCTGAGATTCTTTCCGATGACTCCCAACTGGTTCCTGAACATGTCCGCTCCGATAATCAACATCCCCATCACGTTCTTCTTCTGCTCAGTCTTCATCGGTGAGTTCCTACAGAACTTGAAACTCTGAAGTCCTGCTGTACATTAGCTGAGGAGCGTGGCCTTCCAAACAGCTCTGGATTCAGTTTATCCAGCCGAAAATAGACTTCACCTTTAGAATAATCAAATCACAGCTGTAAAGGTCACTTCAGTGATTGATGTCATTAGCTTGAAAGTAATCGGCACTGCAAAAGTCTTCCAGATCTTTGAAAGTAAACAATCAGTGATGTTGAGATTAATTCTTTTAGGCGCATTACAATCGGCTGCTTTCCTTCTTAGGCCTCCTGCCCTACAACTTCATCTGTGTGCAGACGGGTGTCATGCTGTCTGAGGTGCCGTCTCTGGACGACCTCTTCTCCTGGGAAAGGCTGCTGCAGCTGCTGGCCATTGCCTGCGTGGCTTTGCTGCCCAGTGCCCTCATCCGCCGCTTCAGCCAGGGTCACCTCAGACTGGGCGTCCGTTCTCAGAACGGAGTCGCCACGGATGAGAAAGCGCAGTGACTTAATGCTCCGGTGCCTTCTTCTCAGAAGGATAAATGTATTTAAATTGGTGAGCTGTCTGGAAAACGTTCGACACATCGGTATGTAAATGTATGCAGTGGTTTTTGTCTTCTGGGACCTCGTGAGGATGAACAGAAATGTCTGTTTTTACAGGGGGAAAAAACTGTTGGCACACAGATGGGAGGTTTTTGTGACCATGTTTTGGTGTATGAATGTAGTGAAGAGGAGGATGGATTATAAGGAAAGGATTGTGCTTGCCGTCATGATGAGTGCTGCCGTTGTTGGTGTTCAAAGTGCTCGCTGTACAGTTTTGGCTCTTACATTCTACCTCTGTGATGGCAGAAGGCCTGGCCATATTTATAGACGGCTAGGGTTTGAATTAGTTTGGAGAATACGTCCAAATAGATCCACGCGATCTATGTTCAGCACCAGATCTTCTGTGTGGACGAGACAAATGATCAGAGACATTTTCTTGTTTTATTTAGCCATTCTTGTATAAATCAGATTTTTAATTTTTTGCTTTCACACCAAATTTGACCAAAAAAAAAAAAAAACAATTCACTGTGATCTGATATTTAAGAATGTTCATTACATCTGAATTTTTCCCTGCCTTATGCTTTATAAATTTAGAAATGTGCATAATGTTTGAAGCTTTATTTTGATGCCAAATCCCCCTTTACAGTTTTTTATGAACCTTTTAAATATTACGTGTTTACCTTGGGGAATGCTTTTTTTACAGCATTTTGGGGTTTTAGAAAGTATAATTTTATATATGTATGTAGTTTTGATGTCAGTGTAAATATTTTTTCCACACAGTTGTGCAAAAGCAACTCCAGCGTACGATAAAATCATCTTTATTAGGTTTTAAATCACAAATATGTACACAAGTTGTGCGTTTGCTGTTTTTCCCTGCAGTGAGACAGGGATGGTCCTGTGAGGATGTTTGGTGCGTGACACAGACGTACACGTAGACAGCTCAAGGACTGTTGCCTGTTGGAGCTGGTGCAGCAGCCGGTCGCCATCTTGGATGGGTTCCCATTCACCCCTAGTGCATTTATTTCTACTGCTGAAGGTGTTTTACCCACTAAACAACATTTTATTATGCATTTCACAAAATCAGGTATGATAGTTCAAATATAAATACATACAAATTTTATATAAAATCCCAACAGGTAGGCTAGAAAAGTCAATAGTTTTCCCATGTGACGTGTTTTCAATACTGCACCGGTTGTTGCAACTGTAGACGGCACAAAAGACGGGCATACTTGCTCACTCTACGCTGACTCCAGTTGGGTTTAGAGAGTGAGGAACCCATCCAATATGGCAGTGACGCTATTATGCTCTCCAGTGCCCAATGGGGTGTCTACGTATCCGTATGGTACGTGAGGTCATCATTCTTTCACAGGTGTAAAAAAAAAAAATAGTTATTGAAATAATAAAAACATGGGCAAAATTTTCTCTTTCAAATAATCTTTATTGCTCAGATCCAGGTTGCTCAGCAATACAGTTCATTCACAACTCAAAACAACAGCTCAGCTGTTACCAGAGCGACGTAGCTCGTCCGTCCGGCTCACAGTCACAGATTAGCTTGAGGTGTTTGGAGCCTTTTGGCCTGTGGGTCATGTTGGACTTGAGGGTTATGTTTTTAAACCTACTGAGGAAACCAAAAGAACCTCCCAAATAGTGATATGCAGTTAAGAGTCAGATCCATGTAAGATTAGTGCTGTTTGACGTGTCGTACGTCCTCCATCAGCTGCATCAATCTCATGCAATGCTTTGCATTTAACAAGAAAATCAGATAAAAACAAAACACTGCAGTGGTTCTGCATACATGTGACCGGATTAAATCCTTCATCACCTGACCCATAATGTTTTGAATGGTGTTGAATCACTCTTTTTTTCTTCCCACATATAGAGCACATTTTCAGGCCCGTTTACCCTCTTAACCCTTCATCTTAACAAAAGAAAACCCTTTTTTATTTTTGCTTTGCTCTCCGATTTTAATTCCAAGATCAGTTCAAAGTCCTAGCTAGGTTATTTTTTTTTCCACCACAGATTAACAACTAGTAACATTGGTAGTGATCTAACAGGATTGGAAATTATGAAATCCCAGCTACTGCACCAGACTACATCCTTTAATCATGACGAGAAAACCGGATCATCAGAAAACAAACGGAAGCCATAGCTATTCAAACACCGTGTGATCCGACTCTACAGTGATGTGTGTAGTTGTGGTACGCTGGTACTGAAAAATTAATTCCTAACAACACCCCACAAAACCTAGAAATACCAGTCCTTAGAAATAATAATAAAAATAAAGATTACTACCATCCTTACACAGGGTATCCGCAGGTCCTTAAAAAGTCTTAAATTTGCTTTTCCAAATTTAAGGCCTTAAAAATGACAAATAATCCTTAAATAGTTTCCAAAGGTCTTAAATTACCAAAGACCTAATAAACAAGATTCTTTTATTTCCATAAAATTTTCGTGAATTTCTAGTTAGTTCAGCATTTTTTGTGTTTGATATTGGCGTAAGTGGAACCGTACACATTCGGTTGGTTGTGAAAGGGGGCTATTTTTAGATGAGCATGCTAGTGGGAGTTTGCACCATGGGGAAGTGCAACATTAATGGTAACTGGATGGCTAATCCCACGTTCACAACGTGGTTAGCACCGGTTCCAGGCAATAGCCGGAAATTATAGCTTAAATTTAATTTAAAAAAATAGCTTAAATTTGGTCAGTGGCCTTTAAAAAGGTCTTAAAAAATCTTAAATTTGTCTCCCTTAAACCTGCAGATACCCTGCTTACAGATTCACCCTCATAGCAACCAGGATGTTATTCAGCCCCCAACTAGAGGGAAACCGGTGATTCAAAAGAGCCAAAAACACGAGAGACAGAGGCCCAAGGCGTCCTCTGCACACAGGAGAAACTTATCTGGACAAAAAGATTAAGTGACAACTTTCAGTGCTACAATGAGAAGCTGTTTTCTTCAACACATGCTCTACTAAAGTGATACAGACCACCGCAGGAGTCACGGGACATCGGTCAGGTCGGGGGACCCTGATCAGGTCCGGTGAACTTTATCATCAGTATGAGGTACTGTACCGGCTGTGGGGGAGGCTGCAGCCTCAGGCATTGTGTGAGTTTGATAGACCTTTCTATAAATGTTTTTTTTACTGCAAGTTTTGTGTTCATCGGGACAAAAAGATGATCCGCCTCATCTGATGACAAAAGTCTCCAAAAGTACAAATCAAGTTACAAACAACGTCTCCAAAAGACACTTTTTCCTAAATTGATATATTTTTTTCTATTTCTTTGCCCTACGTTGGATTTTAGTAGCTAAACTCAGCCATGGATTCTGAAATGTACAGCACACCAAGAAGTCAGATCAGCAGACGGGTGGGAAATCTGCTCAGAGGTCAGTTTGAGGAAAAGCTGCGACGCTCCGAACTTTCCCACCGACTATGCCGACACAGGGCCAAACTGGTGTTAGACAGAGAGAGAGACGGGAAACGATGCAGTTACGTGAGACTCTATAGTACATGTTTACAGATATACAGTTTTCTTGTTGCACACAGTGACATTTCAACGACTAGAGTTGTTTTACATCCTACACAGAAGACTTGGGTTTTACACCTCGTTTGGATGTCCCGTCAGTGTATTTTTGCTGATTTCTTTCTTTTTTTTCCTTCTTCAAATGAATCCAAGATCATGCTGGTAAAGATTAAGTCAGGTTGTTCAAAAAATCTTCTCTCATAAACTTCATAGTTTCTCACGTACAGTTTTAAAAATAACCTGAAGGTCAAGTTGGGAACAAAAAACAGGAGGTATAGTTGGTTAGTTTCTGTGTGTTTTGTCTTTCTCTGGTGGTGAATTCAGTACACATCCACATTCAGAACCACATCGGGCAGGGATGTACCCCAAAGATCCTGCTCTTCATTTCTTTTCTTTTTTTCTCCTTAAATCAACTTAATCGTTTATCTTCTTGTAGAAGTCAAACAGTCCAACAGAATATGGTTTATACAAAGTTTCACTAGTCGGCTGGACCTGAAGAGTGTAGACATTACTGCAGATCTTCTCATTTCATTAAAAAAGGAAATTAAAAACGCTCAAAATGATCAGTTAACAAGGCATACAAAAAGGGGAAATGAAAGATTGGACTGAGGTACCCTGAAGCCTGAGGTAGATCACAATACTGACATGCGCACTGTTCACATCCAAAGTTAACGCGGTGGTTCACTTTATTCTTCTCCTAGTTTTTCAGGTTTTTATATTATTCATAGTCTAGTTTTCAAGAAAATAAACACTTCCCTTCAAAATAATATGGCAGTGTCCCACTGAGGGAAAAAAGAAGGACTTTGTTTTCTTTTTGTTTCTTATCAATAGATCTCATCACAAAATAGGAAAAAAATAGATTCATAAATATTATTTTTACTCTTTTTTTATATATATACACACACACACATATGCGCACGCACACAAACACACACACACGCACGCTGATAACACGTGAAGGAAGCTGTGCGAATTGGCAATAACCTTGCGTCTGGAAGATGAAGCTGATGGGCGTTGTCTGAGGGGTGACAAAATAAGGCAACAAGCTTCCATGGTCTCCAAAGTAAAGCACAAAAGGACACCATGACCTGCATGTCCAGCGTGCTCGCAGGGCAGTTGGCCAGCTCAACAGAAATTATTTTTAAAAAAGAAGAAGTAAAAAGCCAAAAAATAAGCAGAAAGAGCAAGAGTGAGGGTGACAATCTGCAAGTGTCGTGTGCCGCTGGGCCAGCCTGCTGGACACGGCAGGGGTGGTTTTCTAAAAAAAAAGGCTGCATATTGTACATTCACAGCTGTCATGCCGTTTTTTTTAGAAGAAGCTCCCTGACAAGAGAGGTTTAAAGCCAAACGCGGTCACGTTTCACGGCCGTGTGTGTTCCACAGGTCATACAATAGCCCCGCCTCCTTCCACCACACCCGTCCCACATCTGGGCCCTCACCTCACACCGTGTGTCGTCCCCTTAAGTCCAAGCGTGTGTCGATGCACATTCAAAACAAAAGGTCGCTCACTTACAAAGGTGCATGCTTTATCTTTTTTTTTTTTCTTGAATCTAGGACATCGAGTTTTGCTCTGATTATCGAGAATAATGCCTTTTTTTAAACATCTGGACAAGACTGAATTTAGACATCGCTGTACAGGCATTGGAGTGTGAAACTACCTGCAAAGGTAAAATTAAAAACCCCCTCTGTTGCATTTAAGTGGCAGTCAGTTCAATGTCATCAAAAGGCTACGAAACAAAACCGCTTCTCCACATCAACAAAAATCTGTAACCGATTAAAAACACATCGCTGGATGACCAAAGTGACAAGAAAGTGAAGCAGAAGTTAGCAGAAAAGAAAAACAACTTTCAAAAAAGAGAGCCATCTGAAAGAGGCGTTATCTTTTGCATTGGCACACACACAGGCTTGTTACAAAAACTCGTTCATCATAGCTACTGAGGGCATTATTTTTATGATTTTTTTTTTAATTCTGAACTGCAAACAAACTAAAGAACTGCTCTGCGTGGCTTTCACAGTTCAGTCTCCTGAACAAGATAACCATTAAAAAACTGCACTTAGCCGAACTGTTGTTTGGATTAAATCAGAAACAACAACGCTTGATCTAAGTGTGTGTCAGTGTACGTCTCTAGTCTGAATTAATACTGCTAAGGATATTTAATCTGATGATCTAAATACCTCAGACAAGGAGGTGCCCTTGGTCACTCTGGTTCTAACTCACTATGTCAGTCAAAATGCCTCGTGTGCGCTCGTGTTAAAAGACTTTATTTGTTCGATCTGTTTGTTAGGCGTATATTAGTCCAACTAAAGAGATAACGTTATGCAGGGCGACGTATTTCCTGTTTTACCTTCTTTTTTTTTACGAATGAGTCAACAGTTTCCGATTTTTATGCTGTTTCCATCATCCTTTCTTCTTTTTTTTTTTTTTTTTGGTCTTTCCATTATGTAGCATCAGTACAGTTTCTCCTACCCTGTCTGCTCTGCTCTCGCAGGGCTGGCAGTGCATGCGACGCCCTCAGCCTTTGGCTCTCTCACTTGTTTCCCCCCATAGCGAAGTTCTTTGGTTTTGATCCCAGTGCTGTTGGTCAGCCCTGCATGTCCCCCCTTGGCCTTGGCCTTAGCCTGGGTAGGTCTCTGTCCATCTGGGAGGGCTACATTCATTGGCTGGCGCCTGCTGGAGCCACCTTGCTGGTCACTTGGAGTGATGTGGTGACACGGCTGCGCCCTGCTGGTGCTTCTGTTCCTGCTGTTTGACCTGCTGAATGATCTCCCGGATCTTCCTCTGTGCAGTCTGCCGGAGGGAATTGGAATTTAGATGGAACCAAGCACCAACTACAGCCTAGTTGAGTCTTTGTGTAAAAGTCACTGAAACACACATTTAAGCCCAGTTCACACAAAGGAAAATCATGCAGATTTTCAACCCGATTCTCCCATTCTTAAAGATGCACCCATTTCCTGTAATGGCTCTAAAGATAATCTTAGCAGATATTCCTGCCGTGTGTGTTGTGCTAACTTGGTCTTTCCACTAGACGCATAAGTGGCGGAAAAGTAATGGGCGCGTATTCCCCACAAGCTCATCAGCACATATCTTTACATCAAGAAACATTTCAGACAAAAATTGGCAGATAAAGTGTTCCACGCAGCTTGTCACAAAATCACAGGATTATTCCAAGACCACGTGAGCACAGACAAGAAGAAAGACAGCAACACGTGTCCAAAAAGGTCTGTTTTCATACCTCGGCTGCAGAGGTGTCACAGGTGATGATGTCTTTTTAGTAGTTAAGCAACAAGAAATCTGCACGTGTATTTTGTTTTGAAAGTTACAGATGTTCTACGCCGCTCTCATGTCTGACTTCCTTTCTGGCTCGATCTAAACTGCTGAGCTTGACACGTTCGGGAAGCGTAGCGCGTAGAAAATAAGACTTGGAAGTGTAAACTTAGAGAAGCGACACAACACTTCATGGCTGGTGGAGACACACCCAATGACCACAACAGCAGCTAACTGCTACATACTACGGTTTGTGGACATCATACAGTATTTTTGATTCTGGTGGAAAAGCCCCTCAAGAGAGATCTGGGTCACTCGGAAACACATCAGTGCTGCTCGGATCATAAAACCAGGATTTTAAGTGCGTTGGATTGTCTCGGTATGACCAAAGAATGTTCCGCCTGTTGAATGTGACATATAGCCAATCAGAAACGGAGGTGACAGAAGCGCGTGGCAAGCTCCTCTTCCGCCATGTTTGTTTACTTTAAAGTCCCGTTTTATCTCGGTCAGTCGGTCTCTTCGTCCGCTTATCCAGAGTCGGGTCGCGGGTGCAGTAGCCTAAGGCGAGAGGCCCAGACTTCCCTCTCCCCAGCTACTTGGGCCAGCTCCTCCAAGGAATCCCAAGGCATTCCCTGGCCAGGTGAGAGACATAGTCCCTCCACCGTGTCCTGGGTCTACCTTTAGGTCTCCTCCTGGTTGGACGTACCCGGAAAACTTCACCAGCTTATCCTCTGAAAACATCGTCACCGTCGTCGTCGTCTCCCTCCGCTTATCCGGGTCCGGGTCGCAGGGGCAGCATCCCAACTAGGGAGCTCCAGACCCTCCTCTCGGCGGCCTTCTCCACCAGCTCCTCCGGCAGGACCCAAAGGCGTTCCCGGACCAGATTGGAGATGTAACCTCTCCAACGTGTCCTGGGTCGACCCGGGGGCCTCCTGCTGGCAGGACATGCCCGAAACACCTCCCCGGGGAGGCGTCCAGGAGGCATCCTGACCAGATGCCTGAGCCACCTCAACTGGTGGCACATCCTCGATGTGGAGGAGCAGCGGGTCTACTCCGAGCCCCTCTCGAATGACCGAGCTTCTCACCCTATCTCTAAGGGAGAGCTGGTATATCTGTGATGTTTCTTTTTATAACCGCATGCTTTAATTGTCCGATAATTGAAAATCCTGCCGTGTGAACAGGGCCTTAGATATTTTGCATCCTGAGAAGAAAAATTAGCTATAACAAGTTTTCTGTGCAATGGGCAAACACTCTTCCCTCAAGAAAATACAATTAGACAAATGGGAGCTCCAAAAACTCTATACTAGTGTTTGCTCGGTTGCCACGGAGACCTACAGTGGGGCAAAAAAAGTATTTAGTCAGCCAACGATTGTGCAAGTTCTCCCACTTAAAATGATGACAGAGGTCAGTAATTTACATCATAGGTACACTTCAACTGTGAGAGACAGAATGTGAAAAAAAATCCATGAATTCACATGGCAGGATTTTTAAAGAATTTATTTGTAAATCAGGGTGGAAAATAAGTATTTGGTCACTTCAAACAAGGAAAATCTCTGGCTCTCACAGACCTGTAACGTCTTCTTTAAGAAGCTTTTCTGTCCTCCACTTGTTACCTGTATTAATGGCACCTGTTTGAACTCATTATCTGTATAAAATACACCTGTCCACAGCCTCAAACAGTCAGACTCCAAAGTCCACTATGGCCAAGACCAAAGAGCTTTCGAAGGACACCAGGAAAATAATTGTAGACCTGCACCAGACTGGGAAGAGTGAATCTACAATAGACAAGCAGCTTGGTGTGAGAAAATCAGCTGTGGGAGCAATTATCAGAAAATGGAAGACATACAAGACCACTGATAATCTCCCTCGATCTGGGGCTCCACGCAAGATCTCATCCCGTGGGGTCAAAATGATCATGAGAACAGTGAGCAAGAATCCCAGAACCACTCGGGGGGACCTGGTGAATGACCTGCAGAGAGCTGGGACCACAGTAACACAGGTCACCATCAGTAACACACTACAACGGCAGGGAATCAAATCCTGCAGTGCCAGACGTGTTCCGCTGCTGAAGCCAGTGCATGTCCAGGCCCGTCTGAAGTTTGCCAGAGAGCACATGGATGATACAGCAGAGGATTGGGAGAATGCCATGTGGTCAGATGACACCAAAGTAGAACTTTTTGGTATAAACTCAACTCGTCGTGTTTGGAGGAAGAAGAATACTGAGTTGCATCCCAAGAACACCATACCTACTGTGAAGCATAGGGGTGGGAACAGCATGCTTTGGGGCTGTTTTTCTGCTAAGGGGACAGGACGACTGATCCGTGTTGAGGACAGAATGAATGGGGCCATGTATCGTGAGATTCTGAGCCAAAACCTCCTTCCATCAGTGAGAGCTTTGAAGATGAAACGTGGCTGGGTCTTCCAACACGACAATGATCCCAAACACACCGCCCGGGCAACAAAGGAGTGGCTCCGTAAGAAGCATTTGAAAGTCCTGGAGTGACCTAGCCGGTCTCCAGACCTCAACCCCATAGAAAATCTGTGGAGGGAGCTGAAAGTCCGTGTTGCTCGGCGACAGCCCCAAAACATCCCTGCTCTCGAGAAGATCTGCATGGAGGAATGGGCCAAAATACCAGCTACTGTGTGTGCAAACCTGGTAAAGACCTATAGCAATCGTTTGACCTCTGTTATTGCCAACAAAGGTTATGTTACAAAGTATTGAGTTGAATTTTTGTTATTGACCAAATACTTATTTTCCACAGTGATTTACAAATAAATTCTTTAAAAATCCTGCCATGTGAATTCATGGATTTTTTTTCACATTCTGTCTCTCACAGTTGAAGTGTACCTATGATGAAAATTACTGATCTCTGTCATCATTTTAAGTGGGAGAACTTGCACAATCGGTGGCTGACTAAATACTTTTTTGCCCCACTGTAGATGTGTAGCTATTATCATCCATAACAGCAGTTGGTCTCCATGACAACAGATAAGGAAGAATCTGCCTGGAATGTTTAATAAAAAAAAAGCCATGTAATAAATTTGGAAGAAGGAATTATGAGCCACAATATTTAATATTTTGTAATGATTTTTTTGTTGTTGCATTTTTTCAATTCGTAGATGTGATCGTTTTTTTCTGGCTAATTATTTTCGAGGTGAGACAGGGTGAGAAGGAACATAAGCCGTCCTGGAAATTTACAGAGGTGAGCCAATTAGAGTTTAGTGTCTCGCATAAAGTTACAAAGTTGGTTTAAAGTTGGCTGTGATAACATTAGACTCCCCATTTTCTCAAAATAAGTTCAAGGTTTTGTCAGATCACCTTTGATTAACTTTAACTAAAAACAATTTAGCAGAAAAGACTCAAATCAATAAATGTTTCCTTATTTGATCACAAAAGTGTGTGACAACATCTAAATTGACACAAAGACACCTAAAATTTCATTTTTTTTCTCTCTCATTTGAGCGAGAGACCTAATGGAACCTGTGTCGACTGACTTTGTGCGTACCTGACTGGCAAAGAAATGCCCGCTGATTTTCACAAAGACCTCGTCGTTCTCGTCAGGAGTTTGGTCCCGCGGCACAATGACCTCTGCGCTCGTGAGGTTCTGCAGCTCATTTACCTGAAACACAGACACACAATCCAGAGATTAGGATCTCACCTTCAGTTTCACCTCCAGCCTCACAGACATTACTCACTGTCAGAAAGAGTACCATGTTACCTCACAGAAACACACAAAAAAGAGCGACATCTGACACGTTCACCGCCTTTTTTTATCTCAAATGTTAAAATATAAAGTTCAAATAAGCGGCCACTCACCGTTTTGCCACCTTTGCCAATGACCCTGCCGGCTGCTGTCGAGGGAACCTTGATGTGCGTCTCCAGTTTGACCTCCTCCTTTCCTGAGAAGAAGTTCTCCTCTTTCAGCTTCCCAAATATCCGACCTTGTGCCTGGAATACAAAGGAGGGTATGAGGCAAGGAGAGACTGGGGAGGATGGGGACACACAGCGATCCGCTGCTGTTAACTAATAATACAGGTCAGAAATGTGGATTTGCAGATTTTGTTTTAATTTCTTGCACGTGAGGTGGGTGGTTTTACCTTAAACTGTGCCTCTGGAGTTCCAGTGATGATAACCATCCTCTCAGCAACATCTGGGCTCTCAGCTGGGGCGATCTGATGTAAACATAAAGAGATAAGTCACACATCAGCCCCTGCTCTTAATTAATCAGAAAGCGCTTCAGTGCCCAGTCATCTGGCAAATACTCAAAAACACAGAAAGATTATTTAAGACTCTAACTGATAAACTGCTTCTGCTTGTGTAATCTGAGTCATTTCCTCTTTCTAATCACCACATCTGCCCCAGCTGTGGTCAGCGGAGTGCTGCTGACTCAGCAGGCAGTCATTTCCAGTTTAATAACATCTGCTTAACGACAGATGAGAAGCTTTAAAATAAAAATCACGGCACGTTTTTCCTCACATTTGTTGACTCACGCAAGCAAATTGAAGAAAAAAAATCGGCATCTTTCTTTTGCATTCTCGATAAATACCAAAAGCAGCGTCAGCGTGCAGGAAACCCACCTTGATGGACGCCCCAGCGAAGTGAGCGAGTTGTTTGATGTGCTGGCCCTTTTTGCCTATCAGGGCCCCGACTGCCTGAGTTGGAATAAAGAGGTAGACGACCTCCTGTTCTGGAGCCTGTTGCTGAAAAAACATAAAAGATATTTTACTAAAAAAAATAAAGGATTTCAGATAAAAACTATTTAAATGGCTTGCATAACACCAAGAGGGTAAGCGTCCTCTTCTGCTTGTGTCTGGAATTATTGCTATTAGTAGTGTATGTGTTTTTGTTTTCCCTCGCATGGTAACACTCATGTAGTTGAGGTTTGTAAATTGAATTTTTACGAGCTGCGGGAAAACTCTGGGCTGAAAAGTCAACTGCCAGACATACTTGTGGTGTTCTGGTGGGAAAGCTGACTGAATATCTGTAATCTCCTACTATTTACAGCCTCACATGTTAAATTTTTTTCATTTTTGATGCATTTTGCTGCACGGACCATGACAGCAGTATGGTACATTCCCCATAAAACGCCACATGAACCTACTGAGTGCTGGTGAGGCATGGCACTTGCAGGAGGAACTCCGTACAGACCCCCAAGATGTGAAGAGTGACTCTGTAATAGACAAAGAGGCCATTAAAACACACACGCGCGCGCCGCACACACACACACACACACACACACACACACACACACACACACACACAGTGAATCACACACCGATCACTTTGTGAGCATTCTCACACAATGTCTCAGACCCAGACCTCATTGGGCTGTGAGTGGAGACTTTGTTTTAGACAAACTGACTCATCCCTGGAGAAGACCGGGGAATTCTGCGTGTTTCAAACAGCAGCGAGTTGGAAAACTTGAGTCAACGCTCCACATAGAACCAGTTTTTTTTTAGGATGATTTTTCTTCCTCCTGAAACCTTTTATGGCAGAAAGAGAGGACTCACTAAGAATGGGTTGTATCCCGCTGGTACTACAGGGGACACTGCACCTCGTGGTCCAGCAGAAGGGGGCAGCACCGGCAGGCCCGAGGAGAAGATGCCCAGGCCTGGGATTAAGTTGGCCTGTTGCTGTGCCGAAAGACAGAAATAAAGACTTCGGTCATGAGAAAAGGCACAAAAAAAACATTGATGGGTTAAAATTTTAAAATGAGGTTTTGAAGGAGTTCAGAGAAGAAGCTCGGATTTTGACCATAAAGATCCATAGGAAGCCTTGTAGCTTGCACAGCTTCAGTGGTAAGAAAATATAAGAAGAAAATGTTAAATGTGTACGAGAAATTTCTATTTCCTAAATACTATTTTAAAGGTAGCATCGAAGATATTTTTGTGGCTTTTTTTTGTTGCCATTTTGATTAAAATGTTCTTCACATACTGGTGGCAACCAGTAAATTTAATGTTTTTTTTTAATAAATAATTTCAAATCGCCTCTGAAATGTATAATCCCGGGAAAACATCATCCAATCCAGTGCTGGTCCCCCTTCTAAATGATTAGATCGTAGCCCATCCATCAAACGCTGCACAGAACTGTGCACGAACCAATCTTTCTGGGCAGAGAAGCAGACAAACACGAAGTTAAGCAAGTTGTTGCCTGTTGTCACAGACGGAATACCCCGTTCTGTTCGCGAATCTCATTTAAGAAGTTGTTTTGCATGTTTTGGTTACAATCTGGTTCGGTTTTTCTTGGGAAAATTTTAGGTGATGGTGATGGATTGTTATCTGGGAATGCAGCTAAGCCTCAACTCTGTCGTTAGCTGTGAGCAAGCAGAAAGAGTTTGCCCGGATTGTCAATGGCACTGAGCTCATTGTGATTTTGGAGTTCCAAATAATCCGAAAATGCTAAAAACGGCCTAGTTTCTCACTCAAGAAGAACCACACGCTACACATGCTAGCATACTAACACTGGTGAGAGCAACGGGACATGAGGCCATTGGGAGAAGGTTCGGTTCCGAGTTGGTTCTGGAAAGTTTGACCGTAGCAGCTCAGCCGAGTTGTCCTAAGCCGGTGTCGGTACCAGAGCGGCTCGGTCTCCTGCGCCTGCTGATGACGTCACATTACGGCCAATCCACTCATCTTTCACACATACTGTACGTTTTGGAAAGACATCAGCAGATTTGTTAATAAATTCTTGTTTGTTAACACCTAAATGTTTTCTTTATAATTGTAATTTGTTAATAAAACACCATATTATCTTTGTTTTGTAAAGAATGCGAAACTGCATAAAACCAACATCAGACTGCCAAAAAACAACAGTTCTTATATGTGAAGCCTTATCTGTTTGTATAAATGGGGAATTTGTCTGTATATTTTCTTAGTTGTTTTGTAAATACATTCATTCATTCATTCATTCAAAATGTTGCTTGCTGTCTTTTCAACAAAGTCCTTAGAATTTATTTTGCCCCATTTCATCAAAACCAAGATCTTTAGAGGGTCACCGTTTATCAGTGGATATCTTTGCTTTTATTTTAAATTTCCTTTGAAAATTCAAACATATTTTCTGCGAAAAGTGTTGATTTTTGGACTACAGGACTACAACCACTAAGACTACAACTGTACATTTGTTCTGACCAATCAAAATCGTCTTTGTCAACGTGCTAACATAACTTTTGCGAACGTGGTATTGTAACTTGCGTAAGTCTTACATTCAGCCAATCATCTACTGTGACGTGTTTGGCAGACACAGGACCCTGAGCCGATCTGGCTGCCCGAACAGATCTGGTACCGACAACGATGTTTTACATTTTCTGCAACCATCAGATTCTGTGACTTTAAGGGGAATCTGAAAAAAAGGGGTCAGACCTTTGAATTGTTTGTTTACAACATGTATCTTGCTTGAACAGCTTTTCCTAAGAACAAAAACTGTACCTTTACGTATTTTTTACAAGACTGACTTAATGCAAAAATCTCTACATATAAATTTATATTGTGAGAAATGATTCACAACATCAAATTTCAACAACTTAGGACTCTTTGACATTTTTGTTCTTCTGTAAATTATATTTTGCAGATTGATGCTCAATATTCTTATGAATTTTTCACTTTTCTGTTTTCCTAATTGGTATTTAGCTGCTGCAACACCACAAAGTCAAGTCAGCTTTTCCTGTTTTGTAACAAGAACCTGCAGTCTGACTTCTTGCATCCATGAAAGCTGTTTGTACTTTCCACAGCATCACACTAGAGGGCCCCATCGGCTCACCACAGAGCCGACACTTGACCCTCACAGGTGTCGGGGATGCTCCTGCCAGCCAAGAGCAAGTTTACCGCAACCTAGAGGATAACCTAACTTAACTATTAGATCAATAATAAAGCAACCTAATTCTGCTTCTCTAGTTGTTTTTTTATTATGAGGATCATTAGTTGTCACTTTATCAGAGTTCATCTGTGCATTTCTTCAGTGCAACAACGATCGTGGAGCATGCAATACTCCTCCTGTCTCTCTCTGTCTGAGCTCGACCTCAGCGGCTGCAACGCTGCTGATGTCATGGTGTAGTGTGAAAGAGGAGCTGGGTGAAAGAGCAGCCTACAGATATCAGATGATGCTGGGAAACGCAGTGTGCTACAACAGGAACACAGACACACACAGCGGGGAAGTGAGCGTGACTCAGAGGCTCTCCACACACACACACACATACACACAGAGACATGCTGAGCTCAAACACTCAACTCACTAATGAGCTATTCAGCGATCGTTTACTCTTATCTGTTTACCGAGCAAGCCTCACTAATAAATGCTGCTGGTAACGCACACTGAAGGGAAGGCGATATCATCCCAGAGTTTATTCGTCTCCGCCGTTTACCTGTCAAGTCTGCATGAGTCACTTGACGGTCATGCCAACACAAACCATCAGGTGGCCTGCAGAAGGTGACCTTACATTTATAGCAGCAACGTCGTTCTCATAGGCTTCCCTCAGCTTCTTCATGATCTCCTCTTCAGCTTTACAACAAGCCTCCAAGCTCCCCTTCACCGTGATGGTCCTCTCAGGGTTGTAAATGGTTAAATCTTGTAACCTGAGACGGAGATACAAACATGATGATGCTCTGCGTGTGTGTGTGTGTGTGTGTGTGTGTGTGTGTGTGTGTGTGTGTGTGTGTGTGTGTGTGTGTGTGTGTGTGTGTGTGTGCGTGTGTGTGTGTGTGTAAATGCTCAAATGATCCCAAATCAGCTAAAATCCAAAATGCTACTTAATCTTTAAAAACAGCTTGAGTGAATAATGACCACAAACAACCATGACTGCTTTTCATCTTTGCATGTGATCAGTACCCAGTCAGAGAAACTGGAAACTTCCCACAGCCATCCTGACTTGGATGTTGGCACTAAAGCTGCTCAAAAGTTAGAAACTCTTACATACGCACATTTTCAGTCGATTAGACATAACTAACTATAAAATAATTCCTTTCCTTTCACATAGTGCAGTTATTTTCCAACTAGCTACATATAGCTATAAATAGCTTGTGGATATAAAAAAAAAACAAGCAGTTAAGATGTTCTGTCGCATTTGTCTAAAAACCTCAGCCAACAACGTGGCTTGGTCTTAAACCAACAATTGGACCATCCGGTGGTCCAAGGGCGTCAGTTTGTTTTCAGAATTGCTGGGGACAATAACCATACACTTGAGTGGGGTATAAAAATTGCTGGGGACAATAAAGTAGGCTAGCACAGGTGTCGGCGGCTCTGGAGCCGCACGCGGCTCTTCCATCCATCTGATGCGGCTCTCTGTGCTTGTAAAATAATGAATGGATATTTAAATAAAATGCTTTATATTTTACTGCATTAACATCTGTATGCCAATTCTAAATGTAAAGATTGTCTGCGTAAACCTGAACAGGTCCAACCCGGTCTTACTGAGACCGGGTAGATGCGTCACGCTTGTGCGTAATCATAGGCGCTTCCTGAGCTGGAGGATGTCAGATTCTGGGCTTCTCCTCAGACGGCTCCTGGATGCGTCGCCACATTGGAGACAGGAACAAGCGCTATTCAGCCAAAGTTTCATAATCAGATGTGACAGTGTGAGTGTCCTGTCACAGTGTCCCGATAGATCATGCGCCCTGGCTACTTGGCCAAGGGGTTGTCCCTTTGGCTGACTGGTTAGAGTGTATGACTCTCACCCGGGAGTCTGGGGATCGAATCCCGCCCGGGCCCTCATTTCTCCACCCTGCCACATATTGACGGATAGACTCAAGGATGTAGGTTGTTTTGAAAGAATTACCCCGACGCGCACTGATGCGCATGGATGAGCTGACATTTTAATCGTTATGCACATCGCAGAGGTAACTTGATTCCCATCAGAACATCAGAGCTTTATACTGGACACTGCGTTCAGCGTGGCTCGGAGCGCCCACGGTGGACAGTGGGATGAAGATCTGTAAAGGGGTTCGCAGCGGAGTGCAGAACCACGGTGCATGCAATAAGATTTCCTCCCACTGAAGCGGTCTGGAAACCCGGTCTCTATGAGGAATGTGTCACTTGGAAAAATGTTCTTTTTATGAAATTATGAAACTTTGGCTGAACAGCGCTTGTTCCCGTCTCTAATATGGAGACTCATGACGCATCCAGAATAGCTCTTCAGCTCAGAAAGCACCTGTAGAGACATTTGATCACGCACAAAGTTTATGTGGAGCAGAAGCGGTCGGGCCACGGCAGGTGAAACGTTCCTAGCCTACATGAAGTGAAACTGTTTAATTGTAACATTAATATGTTACTGGACATGCTGGTCTGGTTTGTTAGACCAGTGTTTGAAGCGGAACACACACACACACACACACACACACACACACACACACACACACACACACACACACACACACACACACACACACCAATTAAAATAATGCTGATGGACCAGGTGATGGTTTACGTATTTAAATGATGATCAGGCTGCTGTAAAATGTAATCTCCATCCACATCCAGACAGAATTATCCTCTATTCTTTCTCTATTTGCTCTGCTCTTGTCTGGGCTGACGTAGCTGATGGTGCGCGCTGCGCGCCTAACTAGCGGCTGTGATGCACATTTTACGCATTTGGAGAGGTGGGCTGGATGCTTTGCTTTTACTGGAAGATGGTCCACTTAACGCACGGGTGTAGACTACATATTAATGACAAATGAATGAAAATTAAACTGGGAGTTTTTACTTCATATTTTATAAATAAAAATGACGGGGGAACACATTTATGATGTCTTTTTAAACGAAACAACAAAACAACGCTGACAAACTACAATGGACCAACAAACACTGGGGGACAAGACAGGGGTTTTAACACAGAGGGGAGCAATCAGGGGAACAGGTGACAGGTGTGAGGAGTGAGGTCTGGAGGAAAGACAGGTGCCATTAATAAACTAAATGGGGAACGAACTTAAGCAGAGGGGAAGATAAACCATAATTTATAGAACACTAAATAACTAAACCTAAAGACTAAGGGCAAAGATAAACAACTAATGACTAGAGGGGTGAGGAGGACCAATACAAACCAATAAGAACTACACGGGAGTGACTAGGAGGAAACATGAGGGAAGCCAAGAGGGAGCTGGAGAACACAAGGGGACACATGAGGGGAACGCAGAGGACGAACAGGAGGGGGCTGGGGACCAAGGGGACACAGAACATGACACTCACTGAATTGCCTCATTTCTGCACGTCGCTGAGGCCATCGCTCATTACCTGCTCACGCATTGTGCAACACAACACCACTAGTGTGAGAGGCTCCACTTATAAATAAAAGAACCTAATAGAAGGAGAAAGAGCCGGCTGCCACCACTTCAACTTTAGGACAAACTACCAGAGTACCAAAATGAAAAAGGCCATTTGAAGCCATGAACAACAAAAGATGTTTGGGCCAAGAAAACAGGGACTGGTGTTTAGCGTTCTCTTGTTTACTGTGGCAATACGGGTTCCCATGTCAGAGGGCATGGCCTAGGAATGATAGCCAGCAGGAGGTCAGACAGTTTTGTCTGGATTTAAATGCTCGTTTAAATGAAAAATCTGTTTCCCAAAAAACATTAAAAGCAAAACCCATAAATCAAATATTATAGAAAATCATCTTTGGACTTGGAAGCAAAAACAATCTGGTTTTATGAGACATGAAGGACCCTCCCTACAGACTGAGGACATCATTTGTGACGCTTTTCTCAAACAGACCCTCCTCTTCTCGATCTTTACCTCTGTGCCTGTTCCTTGGCTCATTATGTCCTCTGAGCTCACAGAAAACGGAGCCATTCATCAACTCCAAAACGAAGGAAGGTTGGTGAGCACGCTCTGTTAAATGGGGTGTAATCAACTCCTCTCTGATATCATGTCCCGGAGAGAAGAAGCTGCAATCAACTCTTTACATCAGCTCTGTAACAACTCTTTTAACCACAACGGCACGTCAGGAGATTTACGAGCATGTACGAAGGGTGGGGACGACTGTCCGTGTGTTAGGTAGTCTGTGGTTTCATTGCTTTCACTTGAAATGATTATGCTGCCGACTTACGAGGAGATGGTTATCTTGGTCCCGGTCTCCTCCTCAATCTTCTTCAGGTTGCGACCCTCCTTCCCAATCAGCCGGCCCACCAGGCTGTTGTGGGCGAGGATTTTCAGAGGGATGTCCTCCGTCCTTCAGACACAAAAACACAAAGATTCATAGTTTAATGCTAAAACATTATACCATGCCTGTATCATTGTATCACTAATGTGCTTGGGATGTATTGGATGCAGTTTTTCAGGATATCGTGACCCCAATCATCAGCAGGCAATAAAACAAACATTACAAATCTAACAAAAAAAAGCTGCGACATATATAGAAGTGGAGGAGTTTTAAGTATCTCGGGGTTTTGTTCACGAGTGAGGGAAAGATGGGGCGTGAGATCAATAGGCGGATTGGTCCTGCGTCTGCAGTGATTCGGGTGTTGTACTGGTCCGTCGTGGTGAATTGAGAGCTGAGCTGTAGAGCCCTGCACTGGAGCCCTAGGCCCGGAGGTCAGCCCGGCCCTCGGGCCGACGACTGTGTAATTACCTCGGACACGGGCTGGGCCGGGCGCCTTTATTTTTAATCGAATTCATTAAAAAAAACTGAAACACTTGAACGCAGCAGCATCTGCCTGCTTCTCACGCACCGTTAGCTCAGTTAAGGTCTGTGTGGTTTATAAACGCGCCTATACAAACGAATTCTCAAACTGCTGATTGAAACATGTGCCCCTATTCTAATATGCCATTTTATGTCCACTCTGATGTCAGAAATCATTCGATTATTCTCATGAAAACGGCAGCATTCTATTTTTCTGTGAATAAATTCGCTCTGCAGTTAAAAAAAATACAGCATTCATTGCTGGTTGTTTTCTAACTGGAGAGCGCATTTTCAGAGCGGCAGATTAAATTTACAAACGTGATATTAATTGGGGGCGTTTATTTAATCTGCCGCTCTGAAAATGCGCTCGCAGTTAGAAAATTAGAACGCTGCTTTTTTTTTCCAATTGCACAAGAGCGCATTTTTAGAGCAGATTAAATTTACAAACGCATCCAATTAATATAGTGTTCGTAAATTTCATCTGCCGCTCGGAAAATAGCCTACGCTCTGTTAGAAAAAAAGCTGCATTGAATGCTGTTTTCCCTTTTTTTTTTCTTTTTGTATTTTTTTTTTTTTTTTTTTTTACTGCAGAACGCTTCTCACAGATAATTAGAACGCTGAGCATTATATCACGCTAAAACATTATGAAAGGTTAAAAAAAAAGTCAGGCTCGGGTTCGGGCCGGGCCAGAGAATCCTGAAAACCTTTTCGGACCGGGTCGGGCTGGGGCTCCATCTCCTCGGGCCGGGCCGGACACGGGCTCAGTTTTTAGGCCCGTGCAGGGCTCTACTGAGCCGGAAGGCAGAGCTCTTGATTTACTGGTCGATCTATGTTCCACGAACGTTGGGTTGTGACCGAAAGAATGAGATCACGAAAACACGCGGCCAAAGTGAGTTTTCTCTGCAGGGTGTCTGGGCTCTCCCTTAAGAGATAGAGTGAGAAGCTTGGTCAGTTGATGTGGCTCGAGCATCTGGTTAGGATGCCTCCCTGGTGAGGTTTTACAGGCACGTCCAACCAGGAGGAGAACTAAAGGAAGAACCAGCACATGCTGGAGGGACTATGTTTCTCGGCTAGCTAGGAAAAGCTTTGGGATTCCCCCGGAGGAGCTAGCCGAAGTGGCAGAGGAGAGGGGAGTCTGGGCCTCTCTGCTTAGACTGCTGCCCCACGACCTGACTCTGAATAAGCGGATGAAAATGTATATATGGATGGACAAAAAAGCAGTGATCTAGAAAAATATATTATTCAGGGATAATTCATAATTATACTCATCCCAATAAAACCTCATATGTAAATCTTAGGAGTGTAATGGCACACCTGTAATCCCGGTTCAGTGTGTAACACGATTAGGTTAATTTTGGTACGGTGAGGGAACAAAGTGAAAAAAGGTTGTGTAAAGGGCTACAGCTTTAATGTCGTTTAAAATAAAACTTTACTTGCAATGAATTCTCCGGCAAAAAATTCTCAGATAACACAAAAATGCATAAAATGCTATTTTACAGCCGTTCACTTCCAGTGTTCCCGGTCAACGAAAGACCTAGGGAGTGGCACCAACACCAGCCGGCGTCATCCAGGTAAGCTGGATGTTTTGAAGGATGCGGCTTCTTAAATTGGACATCACTGCATGTGTTGCCGGTTAAAATGCAAAACAACGTCAAACGTCCATGTGGCGTAGGAACTCAGTACAAATCTGTGTCGAACCAAATCTTCCGTACCAAAAATCCGAATACCATATGCACCATTACACACGTCTCCGTTATTTATTTCTACCTAGTTACACGACAACATCAAATAATATTTATATTTTTATTCCCCCAGAGTCCTTTGCTTTTGACTGAGGCCTACTTCTACCTCTCAGAGCTACTTTAGCTTGTCCTCGAGCTTCGCTGTGCAAGAAATCAAATCCAAACCTTTATTTTTGTGCTTTTGTTGAAAAACTCAACAACATTAAGTATTCAACTGGGGTTTGAGTCGGATTTTTTTCCCACCTAATGAAAAGATCTTTAAAAAATTCACGTTTTCAAGTGTCTGTGACTCGGTTGCAGAAACATTTGAGGGTTTTAATGATGTAAAGAGTTTTAAATTTCAGAGACAAGAGACTAATCAAGCCCATAAGAAAAGTTCTCAGTTGGCACAGCAGGCATGATATTTCCTGGAACTGAAAATGTTTTTTGTATTTGATTTGATGCTAATATGTGGATTCTAGTTTACAGTAAACACGACAATGTCAGACACACTTCAGATCTGAAAGCAGTGCTGCTGTTAGAGAGCAGAAAACAGGACATTTTAGAAAATACTAGTGAATACAGTGAAACTACAAATCATCATGTTTTCTAACCTTAATCACACCCTTCCAGCCATGACTTCCATAACAGAATCACGCTAAATGGAATAAAGAGCAAAGATCCTTTGCTAAATCCAAATAAAGATTATGATAAAAGATTACATTACATTAAAAATAACGTACACCCTGAATCACGTGCTTCATGTCCATACCGAAGCAGGTGGGTTCATACATATTTGAGAGGAAAACACGATTTTGTACTCAAGGTAATTTGGGAGGAATGGAAGGTGAGTCGCATTTTCTGTTGTTGTGTTTAATACAGATAATTTTCCATGACTCTGAAAGAAAAATAAATCTTGTAATATTGTGGTGTACTGATGGCGGGTAAGAAAAACAGACCAGGTTTTACAAATGTGTTATTCAAGTCTACAATTTTAGGTACAGGATGGAAAAAACTAAGAAATTTAATTATAAGCAATTTAAACGTTGTTTTTATTTAGACTAAAATTAAGTCCTACACTTGGTAATGAAAAATCAAGGGAAGTTGTTTTAGATTCATACTAAATATGTTAATTCAATTCCCTCTAAAAACATAAAAGAGTAAATAATCATCAGATTGAGCGTTAAAGTGACATCTCTGGATCATAACATTTTGTTTTGAGAGGCAGTTGCAGGAGTGAATGTGGGTTTGAGTTGTGGTGTGTGTGTGCGCACGTGTGTGTGTTTATGTTGGGCAGGGGGACATTACGTTGGGGCATGCTTTAATCTGTAAGTATAGATCCATACTGCAGGGTGAAATTAGTTTGGGATGAAGGGTGGGGGTGCTACAGCTGGGTGGGTTTGGTGGTTTGGGTTTCAGTGGGTCTAGACTCGATGAAATCACAGGGTGGAGGTGAGTGTGTGTGTGTGTGTGTGTGTGTGTGTGTGTGTGTGTGTGTGTGTGTGTGTGTGTGTGTGTGTGTGTGTTGTCCTTTTTGCAGGCGTGGCAGCGTGGTGTCATGACGTCGACACAATAATGAGGTGTGGATGTTATTGTGGCTTTCAAGAAAAAGGATTTCTGCTTTGAATGGTTGATTAAACCATCTGAAACTGATTTTTTAGCTCTGTTTTGTCAAATAAACCTCACAACAAGCTCAGACCTGATAAATCTGCACCGTTTCATCCTATATTTGCCACCTCTGAAAGTGGGCAAAGAAACAAAGGCCTCAGACCTTATTTTCTAATGCGCTTTTGTGCGTTATACAGTTTTACACATCAACAGATAAAAATAGCCAAGTCAAATTGGAGGCACGCATCAGCGCACACTGGTGCACAAACACAAGGCATGATCAAAAACAAGTCGAATACACTCCGATTGAAGAAAATGAGCCATGGTGTCTCATTTTAAGGTGATTGAAAGGCTATGAAACAGTTTTACCCTTAAACACTTCTATTCTCTCTTAAATAAAGCATTCTGTTATGTAAGATAAAAGAGTGTAGGATAAAAGACAAACACCCGTTTAAATCTGCACTGCATTTGTAAGTGCTGCAGGGAGCGCAACATGTAGCCGTCAGACGAACTGCAGTACTCCGACGTTCAAACCCATTTAAAGTTAAAGTCTCATTAGTCATCACACATTGGTGAAATTCCCATTCCCGTGGGGAGCGGTGAGCTGCAGCTGTGGCTGCGTTCGGTAACTTTTGTGTGGCGGGAACAATTTTGGCTCTGATGGTGGGGCAGGATCCCTGAGCTTCCCTGGTAAGGTCTATTCGGGGGTTCTGGAGAGGAGAGTTGGACTCCGCCAAGGCTACCATTTGTCACTGATTCTGTTCATACATTTTATGGACAGTATGTCTAAGTGCAGCCAAGGTGCTGAGGGGATCCATAATGGTAAGTAAGTAAGTAAAAGTTTATTTATATAGCGCCTTTCACAGATAAAAATCACAAAGCGCTGTACAACATGATAAAGATCAGGGCAAATACCTCTAGCCAATAAAAACATCGAAAAACAATAGCAGTGATAAACGTAGAAAATAAAATCATGAGTATAAACAAAGTGAAGGTGTGAACCCAAACAAAGCCATCTTTTTGAAACATTTAGGGAGGGAACGCCTGGATGAAAAGGTGAGTTTTTAGATGATTTTTAAAGATCTCTACAGCGTTAGAGAGACGGAGATTTGAAGGCAGACTGTTCCAAAGTCTGGGTGCAACAGTCTGAAAGGCCCTGTCCCCTTTGGTTTTCAGTCTGGTTCGAGGAACAGCCAGGAGGTTTTCAGATGTGGATCTAAGGTTCTGAGAGGTGATGTGTGGGGATAAAAGCTGGGGATATGGTGGCCTAAGGATCAGGTCTTGGCTTGTTTTTTAAATAAAGAAACCAATTTTTTTTTTCCACAAGACCTACGAATAACCTTGTTTTGGCATCCAAAAATGCAAACCAGAGAGGTAATGTAGAGTTACTTATAAACACGCCTGGAGTAAATGTTAGAACTCGCACATTTATTTGTTTCTTGTCTTCTTCCTGGCTGTAAAGCAATCAGAAATTATGTCTGAGTGCCAAAAATAAGCCTTACAGTTTCACCAGCAACCATGCTAGCAGGATTCATCTTCAAATGTGCATTTCCAGTCGTTAGCTTAGCCTATCTACTGGCTAACTGAAGGAGAGCACGGCCTCCTCGTGAACACGCAGATATCACAGCATGCATTCTCACGAGGTGGTACTGATCCGGACCCCTTCAAAATATATGCAATTGCGGCAAAAGCACTGGATTTAATCGGTTTAGTCAGGAGATGAGAACACTGGATATAGATATAAAAAACGGTTTAATTTTAACAAAAATATTACATAATGCAGCTTTAAAGGTTGGTGCTTAAACCAAACAGAGGCTCAGAGAGGTGGAAAAGGTGTGGCATCTCGTTAATAGCGTCAAACCCAATTAGATCTGTTGTCCTGGTCTCTTAAACGTTAAGCTGTGATCACGTGTTGACCTGTGTGGTCCACAAAGATTTAAGGATGAGATTATAGCCCTGCAGACATTATGCCTAATCTTCCTGTGTGGATTGTATATGTTCGGGCTTCAGGTCGGATTATCTGCAGGCGTGTGAATTGTTGTGTGTGTTGCAATGAAGGCTCACATCTTGGTCTCGTTGGCCTCCTTCTGCATGATGTCTAGGATCATGTGACAAGCAGAGGAGCAGCCTTCCGGTGTCGAGTGGATGGTGATGGGTTTTTCTGCTGCACCTGCATTTTCTTTCCGATGAATATCTACCCTGGAAGTACAAATAAGGGTCCACCTTCACAAACCAGGACACTTTGAAGGGAAATGAAGGCAGCAACCAAGTAAGAAAGATGCATTCTTACTTGGATTGAGTCTGTTTTGTGACATTCTTGATGGTAAGGCCTTCCTTTCCGATAATGGCTCCCACAAACTGAGTAGGCACGAGCATTCGTAGGGGGAAGTCGGGCTGTCGAAGGCGTGGCGAGCCAAACCCTCCCGACGGCCCGGGCTGAGGGGGGCCCTGGTCCCGAGAAGATCTACCTCCTCGCTTTGCTCGGGAAGCCTGGATGGGTGGAGCTGCGTCCATGTCCATGATGTACGACACGCTGAAGGAGTAGTCGTCAAACTGGTGTCCCGTCAGCTTCTCAATGGCTCTGAGATGAAAAGAATGAGACACAGTATTGGCCAAGGAAGGAAAAATAATATTAAACTATACTGATGGAAGATAATAACATTTGTTTTGAATAAGGATTAATTTGTTTCCCAGATATAATCTGACTAAAGGTGGAGAGAATACCTTAGTATAATTAGGGCTGGGCAAAAGAACAATAGAAATATATATTTCGAAATAACTTCTCCTCACTGGACATAAAACAACGGGTCAATAAAACTTTGATATAAAGATTGGAGCCACACGGTTCAGTAGCAACCAAACAGACATGCTGCTAATGGCTAATTTTTGCGTAGCTGTAGCCCCCTGCTGCAGATAACAGGTCACATGGCTGGTTAAAATAGAAAAAAAGAGCTACCTGAACGTGAATTAGCCAAATGTAAGATGTTCTAGGAAAGTAAGGTTGGGGAAATAATCCCAGAGGAGCAGTGGAATGCCATTAGTACAGCATTCAGGGATAAACTTTGGTAACGCTTCCTTTTACAGTCCACTAATAACAAAGTACTTACATGGTAAATACATAGTAAGTTAAAGTGTATTGTTGTGTAATTAAAGTGTATGATAGTAATAAAGTGTGATTATTGTGTAAAGCAGTATTTAATGGGAATGATTAATAAAAATAAAAACTAGAATCGAACCTGAGTTACATGGTAATAACTGTTTAAGAACTCAATAATACACTTTAACTTACTATGTAATTACTATGTAAGTACTTAGTAATTAGGAGACTCTAACAGAAAGTGCTACCGAAACGTTCAGGGTTCATTATTCTGCCCACGGACAATTCAATACACGACCTTCTGGGACCTCAACTTCTGATCAGTGGACATCCACTCTCCCCATTCAGCCATGGCTAAACAAGATCTAAACACATTTTCAAACTAAATGCTTTTAAATGTTTTTACTCATTCAGCCAGAATTAGTTTCAGGGGTCTTTTAAATAATTTTTTAAGGGTTTGTGTTTTAAATCAAATTTATAGTCCCTTTATATAACATAAACATCCTTATCATGAATTTCTGTTGTTAAATTTATGCTGGCTGTATCCTATTGAAGCTCATGGCAAATCTGCAAGACAAGCTAGTTAAAACATGTTTTTTACAGTTTGAGCAGCTTTGTTATTCTTCACAATTTCCCTGTATAAATCGTTGGTTGTTATGATAAAAAATTGCAGTTTAATATATCATATAGGAGACACACACAGCGATATATGAGAAGTGAAACAAGGTTTGTAGGATATGCAGAAAGTGTGCAACAATTGTTTAAACAAAATTGGGCAGGTGCATACATTTGGGCACCACAAAAACAAAATTAACTGGATGGGTAGATCCTCCTTTTGCAGAATATATGTGTGCGTGTCTACGTAAATAATGTTTTTGCAAAGGAATTCTTTGTGAGCATCAATACATGTAAATGCCAATTATATCAACTAACAATACAATATTTTACAATTTCATCTTTTTTTCTTTCAAAAATTTACCAACTCAGCAAATGAAAAATATTTTCTGAGTTTTTTATCTTAATCATCCATTAAGGACACTTACAGCGCCATAATTTCTTCCCATTCGTTAAGTTTCACACAAGTACATAATACCTTATATAATATACAATATGCAGTTTATAACAGAGGTGTCCAGTCTCTTCAACAGAAGGGTCAAAATCGTCACGTTAAAACTCCATGTGGGCCACAATTTTTTATTTTATTTGCATCATTCAAAAATAGGCATAATTCTGCATATTAGTAAGAATCTTATCATAAAGCCTTTCACTCTACATCAACATCCTGCTGGAGAGAAGGAATTCCACCATTCTAGAAATTCAATCGGGAGCACAGAATCCTTCAAGAGCCACAAATGTCCCTCAGGCCACATTTTGGACATGCTTGGTATAAAAGAAACATCAAAAACTTTAAATAATGTTGGTAAAAATCTCATTTGTAAACAATCATTTTGTTTGGATGCAAATGAGAGGTGCAAAAGTAGAAATAAAATAGTCTTGCACAGCCTTCTGGTGTATTGCAAGATCTGCTTTGGAGAAGACACAATAAAAAAAACACAAAAAAGGGAAAATAAATAGAATACATCTATTCTAATTGTTTGTGCTGCTTACTCTTTAGCTTCCTCCTTGGTTGCGTATGTAACATTCACCACTGCTGTTTCAGTATCAGTGTTCACTGTGAGACAAGAAGACAAAATAAACATGAGACACATTTAAAAAAAGGTTTACACATGCACATTGTACGCCGTTGTTGCTGTAGGTGAGTCGGACACGCGTCCAGGTTCCCGTGGTGACCCAGAAAGCCGCTTGTCTGTGTGAATCCATTATAGCCATCACCACACTGGCTCTGCTCCAGACCCTGCTGCTTCCTCTACAGAAAGGAGCTGCTTAACACAATGGCCTCTCTGCCACTCGCACAAAAACGGATTTGAGTTTGACAGAGCAGCCCAAACAAAGCAAGTAATCGCTGATTAAATGAAATGAAGTGCACAACCGAGACACACCTTGGCGAGGTATGTGGTCCAGACCGTTCAGGGCAGCACTGAAAATGTGACTCCTGTTGGGACCATGCATCCTTTAAAAGTCTGAACCAGAGGGAGACGTCCATTAGGAAGTTCATTGTGTGCTCCGTGCGACAACAAGACACAAGTATTTCTGACTTTATAAACTCAAGAGTCACAGGTTAGAAACTGGCTGGACAATTCAAGCCAACTTCATGTATTCCTATTTCATGTATGGGAAGAGCGAACATCAGGCAGACTTCGCTGCTTGATTGACTGAGCTTAATCATTCTCTCTGAATCATGATGGAAAAAAAAGCAAATGGCATTGGTAATATTTGACAGGATGAAATTATAATTACCGGTACTTGTGAAAAGACAGCAAAGTCTTTTTATTTTCAGGGTTTTATTCATTTCTTCTAATTGGAAGCCCTTTCAGGCGCATTTCCACTAACGGAGCCTTCGGGTAATTTTACAAGTCCTTTACAATATAAGTGTGTCTAAAACACAGGAACCTTTTCTGGGCAATTCTGGGAAGGGTAAATTTAGCTGTTGTGTCTCAATTTAAATTCAGCTTTTTCAGGACTTTGCACAGATGTCAGCATATCGCAACTGATGCGGCAGGGAGTGATATCACTGATAAGTGCCAAAAAGCTCCCACAGTAACATTAATAACATTAAAAGTTGTATTCTGTCGGAGTATATCATAATTTAACCCATTCGGAGGATGAGAGCAGCTGCGTTATGTAAAATGTGGCGTTCAGTGATCAGAATAAGCTCTGTTTTTTACGGCGCTCTCTGAGACAACCAAAGCTCGTGAATTACGTCATTGTGGGGGAATTCCGCACTTTTTTCCAGTGTCAGGAGTCAATGGGAAAATTTTAAAGCAGGGCGATCTGCGCTTATTTTCTTTTGCTTCTGTTCTGCTTCGCAAACAACTCTTTTCCTACTTCTGCTCAGCAACTCCACCGGGCCATTCCGAGTACCTACCCCTGATCAGGCATTAAGAAAGCTCCTGAAAACGGCCGTTCGACTGGCCCGGTCAAGTGGAGACACGCATGTTGGGAAGTTCCTGTAAATTTACGCTGAAGTTCCGGTGGAAACACAGCTAACGTTCTACTTCACTATACGTCTCAGTAAACAGATCGCTGGTAAATGTTTTTTAAGAACCTTTTGGAAGAAACACCAAATCCAAAAGGGACCCTCGATAGAAACAGAACTTTTTCAAAAAGGCGTCTCTGTGAGAGTCCTAAATGTCAAAACAATGGTTTTAGAGCCTTCTAATTGCAAGTACAGTTACCAAAGCTTGTGGAAAATATGCAAGTGCATTAACAATATCAGAAATAGTTTAAAAAAATAAAAAAGTAAGGGTAAACAAATTTAAAAGAAAAGAGAAAAACGAAAAGCAGTAAGTTACGAAGAGTTAACTCCAGTAAGAGCGACCAGCTGGCATTAGGGAGGGTGATTGGACAGAATCTGGCATCATGCCTGACGCTGTCGTTGCTCTGCCTCAAACAACCTTCCCCGTGCCACACACAAACATGGGACTTCTCCAAAAAATGCCAGAGCAGAGAGCATAGACTCAAGAAGAGGGGAGTGACAGGAGACAGGAAAATGGACGGAAACCACAACTAACGGGGTGCGGATCCAAGTGGAGGTGGATATACTGGTCATTCACTTTAACTAGTGATGTTTGAAGAGCTCAGCTGAGGAGTAGAGGAGAGAGGAGGAAATGCTGTTAGAATGAAGCGAACTGTGTTAACAGCGTCTGGGAAACTCTGAGTGGAGTAATTTCTCTGCTGGGTTCTCTTTTAGCACCTGCCATGACAACAGTGGGTGGTAGTTGGTCTTGGCTGTTTCAACACACAGAGACACCATGAGTGGAGAGAGTGAGTGCGCCAAGATTTATCTATGTGTGCATTTCTAGGTGTTGTTTGTCCGACTGCTTGTCTCTACTACTCTTGCACGTGCGTGCGTGCGTGCGTGTGTGTGTAAAGCAAAAATGGTCCACACACACAGTCAAGACAGCACAGAATCTTCACCACAGGCGTCTTCAGTGTCATCGCCTGTAACCACATCGGAGCATCCCCAAACAGATGCAACTATCAAACACACACAGGCGCATCATGGCTGGATGTCTGCCATGTCTGTCCACTTCAATACTTCAATCTAAACTAGCGAAATCTAAGGAGCCTGTGGTGGTAGACCCGATTTAGAGCTTGGATCCAATGCAAAGGCTCATGCCTCCAGGCCAAAACTCAAAGGCAGACAAGATGATGAAGACTGATTCACACGAAGAAGACAGGTTATGTTTAGATCACAGATTTGTGGAGTTATGATGATGATAATGAGGAAGTGAAGTCACATAGGGAGACTTGACTCACTGGGAGGTCTGGGTGTGTGTGTGTGTGTGTGTTGTTAAAAAGACACATATGTATAGAACAGTGGAAGCCAGATGAAGATGATGAGTTGATGAAGAGTTCTGTACCTTGTTCCACGTTCTCTACAGTACCATACTGAGCTAGAAGGCTGTCCAAAACCTGATGAAGAGACAAGTATTCATGTTAGAGACACAAGTCTTATACTGGCAACTTTTTAAAATTTTTACACACTTTATGATTGACATTCAGTCATTACTGAACTGTGAACTGTAAACTTGTATGGTTTTGCCCTGGGACTGGGAGATCAGGGTTCAAATCCAGTCAGGTCATACTAAATACCAGGGATGTGTGTTTTTGAAATTCTGGCGATACAATACATATCACGATACAGGGGAGACGATACGATATATCACGATATATTGCGATACATTCAGTCAGACGTTACAAGCAATTTTTTTACTGAATTTATTGTAAGAATGTTCAATAAACAGTCCAAACTGATACGTAACATGTTTAACATGAGGTATCTGAACCATGATGGAGGGATTTACATTTCAATGGTGGAAACAAAACCCGTTGCACACTGCTGCCAACTAGCAGGTGGCGATTGAATTGCACAAAACAAAACAAAAATACACAAAAGTTTGCATGTAAATTCTTTCAAGAATTAGATCCACGGCTTTTGAATATCGATGTAAAAATCGCAGGAAAAAATATCACGGTATACTGCCATATCGATATTTCCGATACACGGCTTTCGAATATCGATATAATATTGCTGGAAAAAATATCACGATATATTGCCATATCGATATTTTCTTACATCCCTACTAAATACTTACAAAATGGGACTCAGTGCCTCCCTGCTTGACACTCAGCATTAAGGGGTTGGATTGGTGGGTTAAACCACCAAATAGTTGCCCTCCAGGGATGGGTCAAATGCTGAGATTATATTCACCCGTGTGCGATGATGACTACTTTACTGCAGCTTTGAGCAGTTATTCTGACTGCTGCATTTAATGGTCGATAAATTGACCATGTACCGTAAGTTTATAATTTCGGATCATAATTAATTTAATTGGCTAAATTATGTTTTTCCAACCAAAAATCACACATAAATAGATTTTTTTAGAGTTGTAAGAGTCTGTGTTATCAGTCTTTCTAACGCCATTTCTACGATCACATTTCTTTTACATATCTGCACCATTTTCTCTCTTCCTTTATATTTTAGTTATAAAGGTAAAAGATAACAAAATTATGAGGAAGAAAAAGACTGATCAAATACTAAAGATGGTTTTTCATTGTGAAATGTCCCAGTCTTGATGTTCTATTTTCATAGTGCCCAAGGGAAACCAGCGAGAAAATCTCTGGCGGTCAAAATGACTGCCTCAGACCGAAAAAGGTAGAAATGATGATATTTTGTCTGTATTTTGCCCAAAAAACGTGAAATTCATTTAGAAAAAGTCAGAGATGAGCAAGGCTGTAAGTTTTTATTTGATAAAGTAAATGAAAATGCTAATGCAGAACAGAATGACTGCCATGGACTTTCTAGTGCTAAATCATCTCGTATTTTTAAGTGCTCTATTCCACACATGCAAGGTTTTTTCAGCGTCATACCAGTACTCCTCTGGTTTTTAGGGCAGGTTGACATGTGGTGGAATAACTTCTCCCTTCACCAGCAGCTGTTTCACAGGCTCATTGGTTCAGGTTAAATCATCGTGACTTAAATCATTCTGGTGTTTTATGACTATGTGTCTTTATTAGGGCAGGAAATGTAAATTTAGGGACAGAAGCAGCTTTAAAACAAGGGAAACACAAAGGTCAGGTCTGGTTTGGAGCAATGAAAAATTTAAACATGTAACTTTTCCTAATAAGTTATTTTTTTCTGTTCTGATGTTGATATTTTTAATTCCCAGGCGAAATGTTGTGAGTTCTCCCGTAGAGTGCAGACAGCATCAAATGGGAGTGTTAGCAGACAAGAAGACACACACATGGGAGTGTTAGCAGACAAGACACACACACACACACACACACACACACACACACACACACACACACACACACACACACACACACACACACACACACACACACACACACACACACACACACACACACACACACACACACACACACACACACAGAGAGAGAGAGAGAGAGAGAGAGAGAGAGAGAGAGAGAGAGAGAGAGAGAGAGAGAGAGAGAGAGAGAGAGAGAGAGAGAGAGAGAGAGAGAGAGAGAGAGAGAGAGAGAGAGAGACAAACTGACCTCCCACTGTAGATGGGGGGGAATGTTCCGGATCTGGATCTTCCGACTCCTGCAGAGATGAGAGACACAGACGGAGTGAATTTAACAGACCTGAACCACAAACTCACACACACTTACAGTCATTTGTTAACAGCAAAGCCAGCAGTGTTCACTCTATATATAGATCATGGTGGACGTGCATTTGCAATATCAGCAGCAGGAGCAAAGACATCTTGTCGAGGGCAGAAATGCAGAATCAGACCTGTAGGATCCGGTAAGAAGTAAAACTCACAGCTCGTTTGGTTAAATGGACTGTGGCACCAATCAGAGGGCTGCAGCTGGGTGCTGAGGGAAGTGTTGGTCTGAATCCTGGTAATACCGTCCCACTAGCATGTGATTAAAATGCATTAGGGATGGAAAAAATAATGATAAACTGAAATTTGTGTTATGATACTGAATAGATACTTAAAAGTTGTGGATCGATTTTTTTTATTGAGAATTTACATGCGAGCATTTACTGTATTTCATGGTGCAATTTGAACTCCAACTGCTAGGTGGCAGCGGTTTTTACCACCTTATTTCTCACGGAAAGATCTCGCAACAACACGAGATGTGTCGTGGAAGAGTCTGGTCTGAGTTTTCAATTGAATCTAAAAATCACAAATATCATCTTGCCAGTAGTAATTTAAAACATTGTATTGTCTCCCGTGTCGAGAGTCTTGCCAATAAACACTCTAAATAGCAACTTTTGCAAATATGACACACCTCAAGAAACTAGTTGTCACTTCTGTAATTCTGAGTGAGAATTTCTTAATTTTCCTGCGATTTTCATTTTACAAAACAGTCACAAACAATCACAGCACAGAGAAACATTGACTTAAATCACATTTTGACAAAACATTAGATTTCATCCTTTTTAACAACAAGCTTGGAAGGTCATCGCTCAGCTACAGATCTGAAATCAGCCACAATTAACAGACCGACTCAAATCATCATTTCTATCATCTAATATTAATAGGATGGCAATAATAACCTTAATTTTAATGTCTGATTATCAGGAGAATAAATATCTATTCTACAAACCACAACAGTGGGTTTTATGCCTCAGAGAAGAAAAACAACTACCTTGATATAAGAAACTAATAAAAAGATGCATTGATTCTAAATGTTTTTAACTTAAGCAGCAACAATAATTAAATTTGACTTGTCAAGATGATGGATTTAAAAAAATTAATCAAAGAATGTGGTGAAGAGTATCTATTTTTGCTCATAGGATCCAGCGCTTCCTCGCAGCCTCTGAGGGAGAGTCGGCCCAAACAGCAAAGCCACAAAAACCGAGAGGGTGCTCGCTGCAGAACCACAAAGGCGGAGCTGCACCATAAGGTGGAGCTGCACCAGAGTCAGCCCCGCCCATTCACGCAAACTCAGCTTACCTACTGACTTCCGTTTTTGTTTCCAACTTTATCGCAAACTGACCTGACCCACATGAATTACGGCTGTTACTAGTTTACAGTCGTTAATGCTATGTTCTATGCTCCAATTAAACAAGATGAATATAACTTGCTACATGACAAAGACTGAATATATCTCGAAATGAAAAGGTTTCTTTTAGCGAATATCTGTCCACAGCCGGTCTAACAGCAGTGTTGTATAACAGCATGTCTGACTTTCTAATTGCCTTTGGTAGTCTAGTGGCGAGATCATCTGCGTTATGTTTTGCTTTCCCCTCAGCTGATGCTGGTTCGATTCTCGGTGGGGTCATCAGCAATCTATTTAGCCAGCTGAAACTTTTAATTTGTTTATATTTTAGTTGTAATGTTTATTTTCAGCAAAATATTTATGTCTCTAAAAGTTCTTTGAATTTGATCGTTCCTAAACAGCATTTTAGTCGAAACTCTGCTCACAAATGGACTCACTGGCTAAATAAACGAACAAATAAATAAAAAAAACACATTAGTCATTATATGTTAAACGGTATACCAGTAAATTGTTGTAAACATAGTACTGGCAAGTGTAGCTAGAAATGAAGAAAAGAGGTTGTACACTACCTAAAACTTAAACTAAAGGGAGGTGAACCTGCGCAAAACTGCATATCAACCTGATTCCATAACTACTACACCACCACATCTATTACAACTCCTACGGTGTAATCGTGGTGCCTAGTCTGTCTCTGAGATGGGATGTATGGTTTATTGGCGGTGTCTCAGTAGAAGTCATTTCAGAGATAATTTGTCAGAAAATTCACAGAATATCCAGATTTGAGAACCAAGACCAGACCCGCTTCGGGGGAGGAGACCAAATTGAAGCTGAGATGGGAGGAAAATGCATGAATGAGGCTTAAAATGGCTTTGGCGTGTTTCTTATGAGGAAATGACAATATAACATGATTAAAAGTTCCAAAAGTTAGATTTTTAATTATATGGAACCTTTACAAAAACTGTTCAATTAACTTCTCAACTCCGTCCTCAATCTTGCATTTTTTAGCTATAACGCCCTCTTTGATTCCAGAACGCTATCAAGTCTGACAACTGGAAGGAATTGGACTGACTCTGATGGAATGGGCGGGGCTGATTCTGGAATGGGCGGGGCTGACTCTGGTGCAGCTCCACCTTCTGGTGCAGCTCCGCCTTTGTGGTTCTGCAGCGAGCACCACTTGCAAAAACCAGCCATAGCCACAAGCTGTTAACCACATTAATGTGAGAGTGGACTCCAGCGCTGCACTGACTGCTTAGCTAACCTACTCCAAAAAAACAACTTTTTAGGTTCACTTCAGAGGATGCTTCCTCCGGAGCGCAGGGGGAAATGTAGCAAGTAGCAACAACGAAAGGATGATTTAAGCTCGCTGAAATCTCCATGGAAAACAAGCACGTTTTGTCTGTTCTGCACCTTGAATCCACATGCTCAGACACAAGCACAAATTCCTCCCAGTTAGATTTTTGTTAATACAAAAAAAAGTGCAAAAAGGTTTTTGGGTTAGAGCTTCTTTTTAAAGAGAGGAAGGACAATTTCGCCGAAAGCAGGAAATGAATGAATGAATGTGCCGTTCAAGGACACAACACGGATTTATATGGATTTCAGTTAGTACTCCTTTACTTGAAATTTCTTTATTAAAATGATACACTTAAAGACCAAGTTCACTAAGAAATCTATTTTTACTTTTTATTTTTTAAATATGATTGGTCACTCTGAGCTTATCATGCAGGCTAAACATAGATTATTTTTCAACTCTATTTCCTGCATCAGCCGACATAGAAAATCGACGAGTCAATAAGAAAATCCTGACAGTCAATTCTACGTCACAGTAGCTAAGTTTACATGGGCACAAGTAATCTGAATGAATGCCCTATCAGATCAAAACTTCTTCATGGGAAAATGTCAATTTTAATTTTCTTTTTATTAATGTTTGATTTTTTTAATAATTAAAAATATCAAAATACATCAAATTAAATTAAATAACAAAAATAATAACATTTATATGGTTTTGTTCGCCTGAGCCGTAGCGTGTGTTGTTGCTACAAGCTGACTGACTCCCGATGTGGCGGTGTAGATCTCCCATTATTCTTTTTTATGTATGAAAACTCTGTCTTTGTAAGGCTCCTGTGAGTTTGTTGGAAATTAAAAGAAACTTTAAATCTTTGCACACCTTTGTTGTTGCTTGGCTTCCTGGGGCTGGAGGCTAGGAGGGAGATCCGTCCGTCCGGTTGGGGTCTAGAGTGGTGGATTGCTGTGCTCAGCGCTGGGGGAAGGGGGGGGGGGGGGGGGGGTGCTCATCAGCACCCCAGCAGAAAGGGTCAAACTCTCGGAACCGGTGATGGTTGTACCCAGTGTGCAGCAGTACCGGGACCAGAGTGAATAGGGTGTATATGGGGAACATGAGTGGGTGTCCGGCGTGCATTTTTGTAAGTCTTTGGTTGTATGTGTATGTGTGAGCATGAGGGAGGGAGTGTGTGACTGTGTTTGTGTATGACTGTATATGTCAGGTGGGGCCTTTGACTCCTCCCCTCTCCTGGGACTTCTTGTGATGATATAGATCTTCGTCTCCCCTCCCCCTGCCACACCTGGTGTGGGGTGCGGTGCCTTTGTCTGCCTGAGTGTTCATGGCTCCCGGGTCAGGGGGTTTAAGATCTTTGGCATCTGCCTGGTCAATCCAGGTGGCTGCCTGGTGGGGTCTGGGTCCCTGGGCTCTGCTGGGTCTCCGGCGGGGGTGGTCACCCCTGGGTCCCGGGCTCGGCCGGCTAGGGGTGGGAGGCTGCAGGTGGGCCTGTGGGCTTGCTGCCGATATCTCCCTGGACTGTGCCGGCTGCTGGTTGTGGCCCGCCGGGGCGATCCTCTGCGCCTCTCGAGGGGGGCAGGGGGCTTTTCTGGTTGCAGTCTCCCTGGGGTTTCTGTGCTCTGGGGCAGCTCCTGGATCTCTGGACTTGGAGCTCCCCCCGTCTCCTATGCATCTTTGGGGGGCAGATCTGGGGTCCCTTACACTCTCTACTGGACGCCCCCATAGAGAAACCTTACATATACAGGTGCTCACATGGTGCTCTCATAAGTATGGACTTGGGCACGTACAACACATGTCTTAAGGCTATGGTGGGCACTTAATGCACTGTGATTTATTATCGTGGGACTGTTCAGTTAAACAATGCTGACTATATATTTCTTAATTAAGTTGACGCAGTGATAGCTTGATCTTTTTGTATTGTTGTTGTGTCCCTTTTTTTTTTGTCTCTTTCTGCAGGTTTAGAAGCAGACTCTTGTTCATCATTGTTTATTTTTGTGGAACACCCATCTTTTGTCTCTTCCTTTCTCTTTCACCTCTGACTCCGTGTCTGGTCGGAATTACAAGCATTCAAAAACAATAACAATAAAGTTTTAAGTATCAGGCGTGACATTAAAAGCAGACGCTTTGATGCTCCACCTGAGAGTAAATCTGTAAGGCTTGTCACCAGCACTCAGACATTAATTCTGTTTGCTTCACAGCCAGACAGGACACACACACACAAAAAAGGAAATTAAAGGAAACTGTGAAAGTCAAAAAGTTTGTGCTGACTTGAGCGTGAAAGCCGATCACCCTCAGCT